GTAACAAAGCTGCTGAGGGGACTGGAGCATAAGTCATATGAGGAGCAACTGAGGAAGCTGGTCTTGTTTAGCCTGGAGAGGAGGAGGCTCAGGGGTGACCTTATCACTCTACAACTACCTGAAACGAGGTTGTAGCCAGGTGGGGGGTGGCTTCTTCTGGCAGGCAACTAGGAACAGGATGAGAGAACACAGTCTCAAGCTGTGCCAGGGGAGGTTCAGGTTGAATATTAGGAAAAATTTCTTCACAAAAGGGTTGATTAGACACTGGAATGGACTGCTCCAGGACAGTCACTGTCCTGGAGATGTTTAAGGAAAGACTGGATGTGGCACTTAGTGCCATGGTCTACTTGACATGGTGGTGTTCTGTCATAGGTTGTACTTGATGATCTCTGAGGTCTTTTCCAACCTATCGATTCTGATTCCATAATAGCTAAATCCCAAAAGGCACATCCAGAAATAAAAGAACTTCATTTAAAAAACAAAATAAAAAATTAGGGTCTTCTTTTAGGAGGGAGACAGAAAGCCTCCTAAGGAAACTCCAAACCACTGGCTTGGCAGTCCTTCAGCTGCTTCATGAGAGGATTAAATATTTTCACATGTTTTACTGAAGTGGTATTTATCATTAGAAATTGGTTGACCTGATTTTGCCTTTCCGCAGTGCTGACAGCCCAGAAACTCACTCTTTACATTGCTCTTCTCACACAGTCTTAACAGCCCTTAGTGTGTCCTCTCTCCTCCCAAGTGTTTCACCCACAGAATCACAGAATGGGTGAGGTCAGAAGGGACCACAGTGGGTCATCTGCTCCAATCCCCCTGCTCAAACAGGGTCATCCCACACCGGATGGCACAGGATTGCGTCCAGATGGTTCTTGAGTACCTCCAGTGAAGGAGACTCCACAGTCTCTTTGGGCAACCTGTTACAGCGTTCGGTCATCCGCACAGTACAGTTCTTCCTCACGTTCAAGAGAAACTTCCCGTGCGCTACTTGGATCACACACGATTTCCCACCTTCACTCCTCCCTGAGGATCCACCTCCCGCACCGCACCCGCCCACCGCCTGTGATGTCACAGCCCGTGCCCGCCCGGCCCCGCCCCACTGAGGGCAAGGGCGTTTTCCCCGCCCCCTCACCAGGGTGCACCCACTGCGCCTGCGCTGCCCTCCACTCTTCCTGTTGCTTTCTTCCGCCGGCGCGCGGGGTGGGCGGAGCAAATGTCACTGTCCTCGGAGCCCATTGGCTGCCGGCCGGGCCGGTGCGGGTGCGCGCGCACTCTCGTGCCCGCCCCTTCCCCATTGACCCCGCCCTCCGCTCCCCGCCGGGGGCTCCGTCGGGCACCGCCCGGGGCCGAAGGGTCGCGACCCCCGCACCGCCCCCCTCGCACCGCCCCCCCGCCGCCGCCCCCCCGCCGCCACCGCCCCCGCTGCCGCCGCCACCGCGCGGGGGGGCCCCACCCGAGCCGGGAGCAGCCACGGTCACCGGGGCCGCAGCGTCACCGCTTCGGTACGTCCGGGGCTCCGAGCCCCGCTCTCCTCACCCCTCACCCTCGCGGCTCCGAGGGGTCGCCACCCGGGCGGTGAGCGGCCGTGCCGCGGGCGGCGGGGCTGGGCGGCCCGGGGCCTGGGCGAGTCGCCTGTGCGGGGAGCAGTGGGTGCCGCGGGCCAGCTGCGCGGTGATCGGGGGTGCGGCGGGGCCGGGTCACCGCGGCCGCGTGGACCCCTCCAGGGGCTGTCGCGGAGTGTCTCATCCCTCTGGCCTCGCCTTCCCAGCCTTCAGGTCACTTTCCTCGCTCGAGACAACGAGCTGTGCCCGCGTTCCAGCGAGCGGGGGGGGGAGGCCCCTGGCCCGGGGTTCTGGGGTACTCGGTGCAGCGTTCAGCCCCAGGTCGCCTCACGGGCCCCGCTGTGCAGGGGTGCTGCTGCTGCGGGGTGTGGGCACGGTCGTCTCCAGGTCGCGGGAGTTTTAAACGCCTCTCACTCACACAGAGCGGTTCTCCCGCTTTGCTCGTCAGAGTGCGGTGCCCAGGCTGGCGTCCACGTGCATTCCGGTATGCCCTAGGGATCCCTCTGCCTCTGGGTTAAGTGCGGTGTTTGCTCCCGTCAGGGTTGGCTCCGATTACTGTCAGCATCGCTTCGTGTGCATGGGCATTACTTTGAAAAACTCGCCTTCCCTCAGTTCTGTTGTCTGTAACTACCTGAAAGGATGTTGTGGCAAGGTGGGAATCGGCCTCTTCTCCCAGGCAGCCAGCGACAGGACGAGAGGACATGGCCTCAAGCTGTGCCAGAGGAGGTTTAGATTGAACATTAGGAAGAATTTCTTCACAGAAGGAGTGATTAGACACTGGAATGGACTGCTCAGGGAGGTGGTGGAGTCACCATCCCTGGAGGTGTTTAAGGAAAGTCTGGATGTGGCACTTAGTGCCACGGTCTACTTGACATGGTGGTGCTCGGTCATAGGTTGGACTCAATGATCTCTGAGGTCTTTTCCAACCTAATTGATTCTGTGATTCTGTGTTTGAAATTCAAACAGGCAAGATTTCTGTATTCCAGGATGTTTCCTTTGGCTTTCATAAATCATCAAACAGTGTTTGTTTATTGTTTTGGTTTTGGTTGTTTTTTTTTCCTCAAGACCCTTCTAAAATTATTCAGAGTTATAAGAATTCTGTCCTATTCCAGCATAAATGCCTTTAACATTAGGATGTGGCGTACTGGATTTAGTAGCTTGGAATACTTTCCTCTCATTTTCCTACATTCCTTTATAAGTTGTATGCAGAAGCTGAATTGACACGGATATCTAAATATTTTCCTGTCTTTACTGATAGACTATAAAATGAGGTCATAGATCTATTGGGTTCAGGCTCCTTATAAAAAGTCTCTTTTTAAAAAGAAAGTTACTACTTATTCTAGTATTTAATTATGAGCATGTAGTTTTGAGTATGTAGTTATTAGTTTCTCATATGGGTCTAATATTCCATAATCTGCTTCCTCCTATGTAATGTTTAGCATGTGTACTTTATTTTCTGGTATTTTATCCACAAAATCTGTTCTATGCCCAGGTTTAGTCAAGAATTTAGATGTGCATCTTGACTTGACTTTGCAGTTAGTCAAAATCAATAAGACTATCCATTTAGTTTGATGATTGGTCCCACTGAAATGCAATAGAATAACTAAAGGCTCTTCTGTAAGCAGTTTGTGTATTCAGGTCCCAGGATGCACAGTTTTCTGGGAAAATAAAGTATTGAATACTAGTAGGAAGGTCACTGGGGACTTCGAAGGACAGAACTTGATACCTTAGGCTCTAAACCATATTTTATGTAATGGCAGCTTCAGACTAGCCCTGTGTCAAGTTTGCTTAAAATTTCATGCCTATGTAGGCTTTGAAAGGAAAGAGGAATTTTTTGTGTATTTTCCCGACACCCGCCCCCAAATCTCCTGTACTTCCTGCACTTTTGTTCGTGGAGTTTCTTTTGCTGTCTCCCTCCACCCCCATCTTTGAGGATTCCTCTGCTTCTTGGTTTATATCTGTCCCACAGAGTCTGAGTAACAGCTGTGAAATGAAACATTCTTGTTGATCTCTGTCTGTCGCTGTTTGGCAAAATTATAAGATCTAGCACAAGGCAATGCTTCATGTCCAGTTTTGTGTGATGGCACAGGAATAGGAGAGGGTCTGTAAAACTAAGACTTTTGAACAATTAGCGTTTTTACTGCTTATGTTTGTGTCTAAACATTTTGCAAGTTTAGCTATTGTTGCATGGTAAAATTTTAGTGTGGGCATTTGATTTTATAATGCTTATTGCTGACTGATTTACTTCATTTTGCAGGGACTGAAAGTACTGTTGAGGAAACAACAAAATGAGTAGTCGACGAAAACGCGCACCTCCGTCGAAAGTAGATGAGGAGAAGAAGAAAAAGCTCTGCTGGAACATGCATGAAGACCGGAGAAATGAGATAGTAACATTAGATGATGAAGTGACTAATGAGGACCATGTTCCAGTTCCAAGCACTTCTGCATCCTTCATTGTTATAAATGATGATAGCACTGATGAAGATCTTGTACAAAAAGAAGGCAGTGGCTCAAAATCTGTTAAGTTTTTGACAGTTAATGATGAAGAAGACTCTTATTCCATCTTGACTCCTGTGTCTGTACAGCTAAATATTATAGTCTTGCCATACCGTGCAGATGGGTCCTGGAAGGTTCTGTTGGGAGAATTTGCTCTACATCTTCCTTCTGAACAAATTCTAGCTGACGAATTCCATGAAAGGAGCTTCACTTTAATGAGAGGAGACTCTGACGATCAGCTGCAGGTCTGTGTTCATGAAAGAAGTGAAGAAGAGTATAGTAATGAAACTAAAGAATACCTGGGTGCTTATGAACAACGTATTTTGGTGGAACCAACTTTAAGTGGTGAAATATTGGAAGGCTTGAGATGGTTGCAAAAGAAGAAGATAATTGGACTTTATCAAAGACCTGGAGAGGCTCAGACTTTAAAGGTATGCATTTGTATACATTTTGAAAGTTTTTCTGTTTGAAATGTAAAATAGAAACCTCTGAACAACAAAGTCTGGCAGCTACCATATATTTTATAATGTGATGAAAATGTATAGTTTCTGCATGCTTTTGTAATGTTTTCAGTGTGTTTTTTTCTGAAAATGACTTTTTACTTTTTCACTATTAGCAATGCATTACCCAAAGGAATCACAGAAGCTTTTAGTTACAATTCCTCTATATGGTATTTTTAGTAGATTTATTATATCTGTCTATACGTGCTGATTTTCAAAGCACTGTTGTTATTTTCATGTTCTTCTGTTTATAATATTCTTGTAATTTTAACAGCTAATTAAATTATTAACCCTTTCACAGGTTGGAATTTACCTTCTTGAAGCTGGGCTAAGTAAACCAGAGTTTCTCAGTGATGGAGGTGGAAGGCCCAAAAAAGCCAATCAGCTGATTCAAAAACTCATGGAAAAGTTCTACAGTTTTTTAATTCCAGGTAATGCAATAAAGTTGATTGTTGACAAACAGTTTTTTGTTATTAAAGTGTGTCTTGTGTGGTAGTTTTAAATGTAAGGAAAAATGGTAATTATTCCTGCCATCTAGACTGACTTTTACTTTCAAGGTAATGTTATTAGGTATGTCAATATTATTATCTGACCATTAATCATATGCTAATTAGTTTATGCTGAAATTAGAGGTGATAATATTTCTTCTGTACAGATCTCTGTGTTTCTTCTGAAACACAGAGATGTTTGAGTCCTCACCTTTTTGGGAGTAAATACAGTTTTCACTGATTCTTGTGGGTTGGTTGAACAGATCTACAGTAGCTTCTCCGAGTTACACAAGAACTATTTAAACGAACCAGGAATTAAATTTGGAAAAATTTTGTTCCCAGGTTGGTGCCTATCACAAAACTATGGAATAGATTTCTGTGTGTTTTATATTGTATAGCAGTTATAATGTAAACCACTACAAAATGCAGCCTTATGACGGTTCTGAAAATATACCACTAAAGATTTACAACTTCGAGCCTTGTTGTCATTTTGGAATTGAAGATATGTTTGCCAGAATATAGTCAGTAGTAATACAGATTTATAGAGTGATAAATGATGGCTTACGAAACTTGTGAAAAAAAACCAGTCTTGTTCCTGAGTGTAGTATTGATTCAAAATTTGAGCTGAAGACTGACTCAATAACAGTGACTGTAGTATTCTGAGTTTGAGGGTTCTTGCAGAAGCAAGAGAAGCCTAGCACCCCCATACAGTTGTACTTAATTTAAAAAGGCAGAATTGTGTAAAAAATTAGGCAACTTGCTAAAGAGAAGCTTAAAATGAATGCTAACAGAATAAAATCTGAACATCCTTACTTGCTGCGAAGAACAAACATGGAACTGTAAGAAGAGACTTGAGGTGTACCAAGGGGTGGGCCAGTATAGCTAAGTATGTGGGGAAGGGAAGGTATTGCACATAAGAAGTCATCCTTCCAAAAACTGAAGTAATCTGACCGACACAGATATGTCAGTGTAAGTTTAAAAGCACAATAAAGCATATCCAAGAAGTCTGAAGTATAAGTAGTTTAAGGTATAGAAATGAATAGTAAGGGTTTTAAATGTATTAGGAGAAATACGTCATCATACATGCATTAGAAGCAGAATATTTTCCAGAGAATTCATGGACTTGAGATGACTAAGGCATATGATAGAATGCTGAAATAAAGTAATGCTATAGCAGAAAGCACGTTTTTCTTCTCTGCATATCTTCTCATTGAGGAAGAGTTGGGGAAAGAGATTGTTTGCAAAGAAAATGACCAGTGACTTATTCTGAGATCCAGAATAATTTTCTGCTGGAATCTGAGGCATCTGTCTTCACTACTCTAAAGGATATATTTTTATGGACTACGTGGTTCACTGCTGCTTACAAGTGAAGAGGCATTTGCTGGAAGGGAAGACATACGCCTCAAAGTTACTGGAGCAAGAATGTGGATGTGAGTGATTGGGTTGCTAGTTGCTGTGTCTTAACTTTTCAGAAGCCATGTAACCAGCTCAGGTTCATAAAGCAGCTGTGTTGCCAAATGGTAAATATTCTGACCATTTTTCACCATGTACGTTTTGGGTGTAGCATAAAATAACAACAGAGTCTTTATTTTATGCCAATGAATGCTGTTTAAATGGCTAAGTAAAATAGCTGTTGTGGAGAGGAGAAATAAATGATTGGTAATCACCAGTCAAGTCCTACAAAGGCATGTGCAGCTTAATGTATGCTTTGAGAAAAAGAGCGATTGGTGAAATGCTATCAACAAAGTTTAAATATATTATTCAGCATAACAGAAATGAACAACAACTAAAAGCTTGCAAGCAGATTAGGCAGTGCAACTTCAGTAGAAATTCAATAGATAAATATAGAGCAATGCAGAAGAAAAAAATTATGGCCTCTTTGCTAATTGTTGCAACTTGGGTTGTAGTTGAGTAGGTAGGTGTAGAGCTCAGTAAATGTGTCACCTTAGTGTTCAGTGCTAGTCAAATCAAATCAAAGGTAAACAGTTATCCTGGAAGTATTAGAGAACAAAACAGGATCGTTAAACCACTATGTAAGTCCACAGTGTGCATTATGCTGTGCTCTGAATTCAGAAAAAGTGTCACACAAATGAACAGTATTTGTGAGGGAAGACCCCAGGTGATAACACACTGTGAAACTAGTTTCATTTTCTAACAGTTTTTAAGCACCTCCTTATTGATGTAGCATAAAATAATATATCCTTGATTGTATGCTGATGAATGTATTCCTTTTAAGCACTTCTAGCAACTTAGTCATGTTTAAAATGCACCTGTTTAACAGAAATAGTTGATTTTTTTTTTTAATTGCTTGTACTTATGTATTTGAACACTTGTCAGTATCCATCTAAAGTGAACTCTATGCAGCAACATTCCAAGATGAGGTTTCTTGTTCTTCCCACTGATAAGCAAATTCTTGTGTTGATGGAGTTGTGCACAAGGTTTTACACAAATAAGAGACATGACCTCTGAATCCCTACATTTTATTTTTTATATATTTGTTTTCCTCTATGTCATGGCTAGGCTTCGCGAACGAAGATTTGGGATTCCTCTATGTACTCATTCCATTAATATCCTTCTAGAGATGGTTTTGAGACTTTGTGGTAGGCATTCCATCTCAAGTTATGGCAAGCATAGCATAGATGCAGTAAGTAATCTAAAAAAAAAAAAAGTGACAAAATATTTAATATGGAATCATAGAATCATTGAATCACTTAGGTTGGAAAAGAACTTTAAGATCATTGAGTCCAGCCTATAACCAGCACGGCCAAGTCCATCACTAAACCATGTCCCTAAGTGCCTCATTTACACATCTTTTAAATACTTCCAGGGATAGTTACTAAACCATTTCCCTGCACAGCCTGTTCCAAAGCTTGACAACCCTTTTGGTGAAGAAATTTTTCCTGAGATCTGATCTAATCCTCCCCTGGTGCAACTTGAAGCCATTTCCTCTCGTTCAGTTACCTGGGAGAAGAGTCTGACCCCCACCTCACTACACTGTCCTTTCAGGTAATTGTAGAGAATACTGTGGCCCCCCCTTGTCTGCCTTTTCTCCAGGCTAAACAATCTCAGCTAACTCAACCGCTTCTCATAAGACCTGTGCTCCAGACTCTTCACCAGATTTATTGCCCTGCTCTGGACATGCTCCAGCATCTCTGTATCTTTCTTGTAGTGAGGGACCCAAAATTGAATGCAGTAACCTCCCCACATCCTTGTAGTCCTCTGGAGTTGCCAGCTGCTTGTTCCAAGAGTCATAACCTCTCTTTTTTCCCTGAGTTCCAGCCAAAGCTCCCTGTTCAGCCAGGCTGGTCTTCCCTGCTACCTTATCTTTTGGCACAGGGGGACAGCCTGCTACTGTACCTTAAGATTTCATTCTTTAAGAATGTCCAGCCCCTTTGCCTTTCAGGACTGCCTCCTGAGGGACTCTGTTAACCACACCCCTAAACAGGCCGAAGTCTGCCCTCTTGAAGTCCAAGGTAGCAGTTCTGATGGCACCCTTCCTTACTTCTCCAAGAACCAAAAACTATCATTTCATGATCGCCATGCCCAAGACAGCCTCCAGTCATCACATCACCTGCCAGCCTTTCTTTGTTCATGAACAATGCATCCAGCAGGACATCTTCCCTAGATGGTTCACTCACTGTGCAGAATATGGAGAAGCTTCATGAATCAGCAGAATTAATTAGTAGAGTTAACTACTTTTTTGAGGAAATTGTTTGCAGAGATTTATTTTGTTTGCTTTAATAAATAGCTGGTTTTATAATAGCTTGTATCCCATATCTGCCATATAATATTGCATGCTGCTTGTAGCTTCAGTGAACACAGACATAAATTACTTAAAGATCCAGCAAGCTGCTTTCTTAATATGAAAAAAACCATAGTCTTTATAATTAAAATAAAAAAAAAAGGAGACTAAAATGTCTGTTTAATTGCTGTTTGTTCTAGTGAATGGTAAATGGTTTGGGTTTTGTTTTCCCAGTGTTTACAGTGTCATGGAGCTATAGTAGCTGGCAAAGTCATATTACATAACATTTACCTTCAATTTTCTTAAGAAGAATAAATTCTTTGTATAAAGATGGTTGTGGTATTTGTATATGTTATTTACTACCAAATGCAAAGCAACAAGTTTTCCATTAATCTAGAATAATGGGGAAAAAGATTACGTTTTCATTGATGCAGGTACAGCCATCTGGAAATGGAAAGATCCTTCTTCAGGTGCAATAGCAGAACTGTAATTCTGTCGTTGAAGGAATTAAGTAGAGTACTTGAAAAGTGTCAGAGAAACTGAATTTTTAGATAGTACAATACATCTGTTTCTCAAATGTAAAAAAGACTAAGATGAAACCTGTGTTTTTGAATTACATTTTGAAATGATTGAAAGCATAGTTAAATATTCACTGTTAAATAAGTAACTGAGAGAAAGGTAAACTTCCCTAGCATCCCTTAAAAAAATCCCTGTGGTACATAGAACCATTTAATCAGGGAAAAAAAAATCTTTGAAAGAATGAACAAAACAAGAAAGGTGTGGACAAAAAATACCCAATTATATGAAAAAAAATTGCTCTAAAGTATATTGTAGTCTTTGCTCCCCTGTAAAATTCTGGATCGACTCAGTTTATATAGAAATCAATTTATTATGCTTAAAACTGTGAGATTTGAAAACTGTGATTCTAGCAAGTATAATGATAGGTGTCATTGTAGATTGAATTCATTTATTGGAGTTATACTTTGCAGTCATTCTAATTTTCTGCTATTTTCCTAAAGTGAGGGATGTGTGTTAGAGGATGCCTTTGAATGGTTTCTTTAATATATAAAGCTGAGTGCTTTGCTTGGTGCTTTTCATTTGGCCATAATATTAATAACCCCACATGTGTACTCTGATTGCCTGGTTTACACTGCAAGTCTTATATGTATATAGTTTTCATGACTATATATAAACTCAGTGTCTTTCAGAATTCTCTTTTCCCTTGTGAAGCACTGAAATTGTTTCTTTGATTTAAAAGGATTAGGGGAAAGCACTGATGGCTGCCATACTTAGGCACACCGTTCTTCACCATCTATTTGAATGAAAGGGTGCTTTTTTTTTCATGAAAGAGCCTATTAGCAGCTCCCAAACCTTATTTTAAGATTAAGTTCTCTAGTGTTTGTGCCAGGTACCTCTCTTCTTTGCTAGCCCAAGACATAGGAATTATAATTTCATTTAATTGTGCCTGTCATTAGCTGTTTTATTAGAGTTTTTAAGGTCACTTTAAGGTCACTTTATGCTGGAAATGATGGCTCTGACTTGCTTCCAATTTTTTTTTCTTTTTTAGAAAAATTTTGCAAGGTGACTATCTCCAGTGCTAGCTAGGGTTTGTATCTTTCTGTATTTTTTTGGTACCAGTGTTTTTAATTTGAGAACTAAAACACTGTTAAAACTTGTCCTCTAAGTCTTTTGTTCTCTCACTTTATGTCAGTTTCCTAGAATGCTGACCCTTGAATTTTTCATGAATTTTTGTTCTGCCGTGCTTAAGTTCTTTGTATGCCCATATATCCAAATTTTGTGAAAAATACATAAGCACAAAGTCTTCTTTCCTAGAGGGTAGAAAAGAATAGTAGGCCTTCTGTCCTGAAGGGTGCATACTTCTCTTGAAGTGTTTTTTTAATTTCCAAAGTATGCCTTGTCTGAATTTTTGCAATGATGCAAGTAGTGAGAATTAAGTGTTGTCCTACTGCTACAATTTTCTTATCCAGATGGATAACTTAAGTTTAACATGAAAGCTCTCTGAAGAGAATCTCCTGTATTGCTTTTTAAAATGTGTTTTTTATAAAGAAAGACTTTATTTCATAAAAAATGAATGACAAATGCTTGACAACTCACTATGGTTTTCTCCTTTCTGTAAGGTCATTGACCCATATTAATATTTAAATGTGAAATGTGAGATATTTGTGATTCTGTACTAGTTGAAAATGTTTAGTGGAAGGTCTTTATCAAATAAATAAGATCTGGTCATTCTATACCTAAATTCTAAAGAAAGAGCTTTTCTGATTATGTATACATCTGTGATCGCCATAGCACCCTACGATTAACTTTCAGCTGTCCTGGTTTCAGCTGAGATAGAGTTAGTTTTGCTCCTAGTAGCCGGTACAGTGCGGTGTTTGGGTTCAATGTGAGAATAATGTTTGTAACACAATTATGTGTTACTTGTTGCTGAGTAATGGTTACCCCAGGTCAAGGACGTTTTCCACAGTTTCAGTCCTTGCTCTTCCAGTGAGGAGATGCAAAAGGCGCCAGGAGGGAGCTTGGCCAGGACAGCTGACCTGAACTGGCCGAAGGGTTATTCCATACCATAGAACATCATGCTCAGTTTATAAACTGGTGAGAGTTGGCTGGGAACCACCAGTCACCACTTGGGGATGGGCCGGGCATCAGTCAGTGGGTAGCGAGCAATTGTATTGTGCATCACTTGTGTTTCTTGGGTTTTGTTAATCTCTCTCTTTTTCATTGCTATTACTATTATTACTGTTGTTATTATTTTACATAGTTTTACTTTATTTCAGTTATTAATCTGTAAAGCAGTGCTCATTGTTTACTACTGCTGCTAGCTGAGTTAGGTGCAGTCATGACATATGTTTAAATGTCATTTTGCTTTGCTTGCTTTCATCCGTTAACTAAATATGTTGCAGCAAAATTTACTGAGATGTTGTCCCAATTTGATTGATAATGAACATCTTGAATTATTTGGTGTATGCAGATGAGCTGGAGGAAGATGAAGAAGAATCTGACATGGAACTAGAGCGACAAAATATTGAAGAGCTTTACGACTTTGTAAGACACACCCATCAGCAGGATATCCAGTTACTTAGAAAGGATGTGCAGCATCCTGCATTAATTCCCATTCTGAGGCCATACCAAAGTGAGGCTGTGAATTGGATGCTTCACCGAGAGAACCACACAAACGCTCCAAGCAGTGGCAAGTATATGGATCTGGAAAACTTGCATAATTGAGGGAAGTGTAATTGTCAGCAGTAATGTTTTCTTGCTGTTCGATTAGAAGTTTTGTTAATTATTTCTTTGCTATTTCCATAAAAGCTGTTGTTTGGTTAGTACACTAAATGATAAGCTAGGTCTTGCTGAACAGCAGCTGATGTACCTTGTTGGTCGTGAAGCTCTATGGAGGTAGACTTCAGCTTTTTGTCTCTAAATGTCACAATAAGGCTGAACAATTCTAAGCAGTGTGCTGTTTGTAGAGAAACCTCACAATAGTAACATGAACACTTTCTTCATAGAAAATGCACTGCACTTCTTATGGCGGGAGGTGATCACTCTGGATGGAGTAAAAATCTACTATAATCCATTCACTGGCTGGTATGTTTTTATAGTTACTCTTTCTGAGAACGCCTCAGGGTTGTACTTTGTGAAAACCTCATTGGTAGCTTTATCCTGAAGGATAGAAGATAATCCATATCTTGTGTTTCAGTTAGCAACTAAAGAATTAGAACAGTGATATCTTTATTTCGAAAAAAAAGGACTAATTGGAATATATAGTGCACAGGTAAATACGTAAATCTCAAGTTGAAGACATAATTCTTTTTTTTTTTTTTAATTTCAATAAATTTGTGGTTTAATGTTAACATTAGGGCATTGGAGACTTTGACCTTCTTATCCACTGTGTTTAAAGTCTAAAGGAAGGGGGCAGTATAATGCTTTTTATTAAAGCCGGGTATTGCATTACTAAATCTATTTCTTTTTTCTTGTTTATTTGGTTAGAATAGAACCTTTTGATTGCTAGTTTACATTCTGTTTTTCCCTATATAACTGTCAGATCTGTGATACGTGAATATAAAAATATTTCAGTTTTTTGAGACTAATATTATGATATGCCAAGGTTAGCAGGGCAAGGCCTATTAGGAGGTGAAACAATTCTAAAAATTCTGGCATACATATTTGTCTTTTTCACGTTTATACATCCAAAAAGCTTTTTAACATTTCTTAATCTCATCTAAACTAAACAAAGATAATGCCCCACCCTACAAACTTTGCCTTGCTAAAGCTGTGCTGCATGTTCCTGAACATGTGCTTCTGTCACACCATGCTGTAGTTATTGACTTTCATTTGGGAATGCACTTGAATTTTAGTATTATCCGTGAATACCCAACTGCTGGACCCCAGTGGCCTGGAGGTATTTTGGCAGATGAGATGGGTCTTGGAAAAACAGTAGAAGTGTTGGCTCTTATTCTGAATCATACTGGACCAGATATTAAACAAGATGATCTGACATTACCTGAGGTAAGGAAACCAGGATGAAAGTTATTATGAAGAAAGTGCTTTTCAGAACTAATGCAAATGCACTTCTCTTGAGTTTAGTGCTTTCTGGTTTGTAGAACTCTGTATTTAAAGCTGTATTGCGAGGACAGTTTTTCCTTTGTAGGACATGATACTTGGTGGCATAAATGGTGGAATAGTTTGCATGAGAAGCAGTTGATAGTTTGCCATTGTTCAAGGGTGTTGTCAGGCAACTGCACTGCTTATATAGTTTACACAGGCTTCAGGAGTCTATAAATATGTTAGTTTACTATGTTGGATGTCGTTCTCTCCTTCACTTCTTTGTATTGATGAGTATCAAACATCCATTAGACATACGTTCTATGCTAAAATAGAGACAATTTACACTCAGTAAATAAAGATTTCTGCTCTCCCTCTATTTCATATAATAAATGGGCTTATTTAGCAACAGTTTTCCATCTTTTCACTTTCCTCATCACTCATACTGTAAAAACTTAGCACATTCACTGAAACCAAAAATTCTTTCTGAAGGAAAAGGACTGTTATTCTTAAGTAAACTCTTACCACTTCATGGGTTCCATACCTTTGAATTCATGGCAGCCTGTTTCATTTTACGTCTGTTCATAATGATCTCCTGCCTGCTTGTAATTTTATCAGTTAGAAGTACTCAATTCTCTGAGAGAATAAGATGATTCTTAAATGTATAAGAGAGTCAGCACTGAGGAGTGTGAAGAGGGGAGTATAAGCACTAATGCACCTGGACATCAACTGACAACAATAACTAGAAACCATAACTTTTGGAAAGCTGGAGTTAGTGGAACTGTTTCATGATACAAGTAGTTGGGACAGACATCTTAGCTAATATTTTGGGACGTTTATAAGCAAAATTGTATGACATTGCCTGTGGTTGAAAGGTAGTATTCCATTAATCCAGAAGGCCTCTTGTCATTTGTATTTTTCTTGTCTTCAAATATAAAATGTCTTTGTATGATGTCCTAAAAAAAACCCAAACAAAAGTAAAACCAGAAGTGCTTTATTCCACTAGAGACTTTTTGGATGACTCCTGGGTTGTGTAAGCCAATGGTGGAGTTACTCCAATTATTTCAACTCTCTGTAGGGTTCAAACAGTATCTGGAATTTCATTGCAGTTACTTTTGAAGAATCCTACAGAGCAACTAATTGGACAGGGCAGAGTGAAGTGTCAATGGATATAGCTATAAAACAATAATAGAAATATTGGCACTGTGTTTTTTCCCAGCTTTGAGATTCTTCTTTATATGCCAGTTTTTGAGTATACATTTCCTTGGATTGACTCACTATTCCTGCATCACTCATAATAGAGTAAAATTGAGGAGGACAACTCTAAAAAGAAAAACATACTTTTTGTACAACTAACTAGGGCTTTTCCTCCTAGGTATTGTTTACCTCTTTTTTTGTTTCTTGCTATATATTAAATATATATTTTCCTCCCTCATCAGTAACCTAGATCACTTAACAGCTATAGATTAATGCAACTTAATTCCGAAGCAGTGAAGGACCCCAAAAGGCTTGCAGGGCTGCTCTTTCTGTTCTCACTGTAGGTGCTGAACACCATTTGCCAAGAAACTGAACTGAATGAGGTGTCATTCTGTACATTAAATATGAGCTATCTAAGCAAATTGGTGAGATCAGAACATATATCTGTAGCAGCTCATGCTTATTTTCAAATGTGAAAACATTAATGAAGGTCAGAGTGACTGTGAAGAGACGTGAGCTAATAACTATGTAATGTTCTCTGCATTAGGGTAAGCTTGTGAACTTCTTTGTTCCTCCTCAACCTTTAGAAGGAAATAAAAAGAAAAAACCAAAGGAAATGGAGCCTAAATTGAAGGAAAAAATACAATATCCCAGTAAGTATTTCTGATGACTTTTAAAATGCATTTTGTTTTTGGCATTAAGTCTTATATTGGCCACTGACTTATGAGCTCAAGATTACTCTTCACTTCTTCAGAATGAAATGATTCTTTTGCTGGGCACTGTCATGTGGGATTGCATGCTACAAACAAGTGATTCACAGTTAAAAGTAAGTTAGCAACTCAGAACTCTGAGCTACAGAGCTCCATATAACTAAAGGTCTTTGTAAAAGAGTTTATGCATTTAACTGAAATATACTATCTTTTTTACGCCTCAGTAAGAAAATGGAGTGACTTATTTCTATTACTGTCAAATATTGCCTTGGATTCACTGCAAAATAGCAATTTGCAGAGCTGCCTCAAGTCAAGCATTGTCAAAACTGCTGTCTGTCTTTGTTTTGCATTTTTTTAGATGAACACTATGTTTAGAGTCCCCTTAATATGCATCCTCTGAGGTAACTTTCATTTTATCTGAGCTGTAAGTTGTTTTGCTTTGATTCTACATACAGGCTTACGAGTGATGATATTAACAGCTGTAAAAGAAATGAATGTGAAGAAAGGAGCATCCATCGTTGCAATATTTAAGTACATCAGTGCTATTTATAGGTATGACACACAGAGAAATAGACGGCTTCTCAAAAGAACTTTAGAAAAGCTAATTGCAGAACATGTAGTAGAGCAAGTCAAAGGACATGGTCTGGCTGGGTCTTTCAAGCTGGGAAAGAATTACAAGGAACAGAAGAAGCGAGAAAGAACCAAAGAGCAGGTAAAATGTGCTGCCACAGTTACATCAATGTTGCAAAGACAGATCTTTTTTCTACTGATTGCATGCTACTTGGAGCTGTGTTGTGTGTGTGCACTAGTTCAGTGATGCTAACTTATTGGTAAAAATGAAGAAAACGGCAGCATTTACTTTGACATTCATGAGTAAAGAAGCAGAAGTCATACATAGATCAAATTTGGTGCTAAAGTATTAACTACATCTGTCATAAATCTTGTAAAATAGTGGCAGTGGAAGTTGCATTGTTCCTACTGTGAAGGTGTTTTTTAAACACTACTAAACATTAACCAAATCCTCAAACTGGAAATTGATACAAAACCATAATATCTATGTCCTGATGTGTTTATATGGTTAAAAAAAAAAAGATGAGAAAGTAATTTGGGTTGGAAGAGCCCTTAAAAATCATCTGTTTTCCAACCCCTCCTGCCATGGGGACACCTTCCACTGGACCAGGTTGCCCAAAACCCCATCCAGCCTGGCCTGGAAGACTTTCAGGGACTTCTCTGTGGAAGCTGTTCCAGTGTCTCACGACCCTCACAGTAAATAATTTCTTCCTAGTATCTAATCTAAACCTACTGTCTTTCAGATTAAAGCTATTCCCCCTTATCCTGTGACTACACACTCTTGTAAATAGTCCCTTCATGTACTGGAATGTTGAAATTAGGTCACCCTGTAGCCTTTTCTTCTTCAGGCTGAACAATCCCGATTTTCTTAGCCTTTCTTCATTGGGAGAGGTGCTCCATCCCTCTAATCATCTTGGTGGCCCTTCTCTGGATTTGCTCCAACAGGTCTATGACCTTCTTATGTTGGGGTTCCCAGAGCTGGATGTAGTACTCCATGTGGAGTCTCACCTGAGTGGAGTGGAGGGGCAGATTCACCTCCCTCGCCCTGCTGGTCACACTGCTTTTGACTCAGCCCAGGATACGTTTGGCTTTCTGGGCTGCGGGTGCATGTTGCCAGCTCATGTCCAGCCTCTCATCCACCAGCACCTGCAAGTCCTGCCTCAGGCTGCTCTCGATCTGTTCATCCCCCAGCCTGTATTGATACCGGGGGTTATCCCAACCCACGTGCAGTAACTTGCACTTGATCTTGTTAACCCTCATGAGGTTCCCATGGACCCACTTCTCAAACTTGTCCAGGTCCCTCCAGATGGCATCCTGCCTTTCAGGTGTGCCAACTGCACCACTCAGCTTGGTGTCATCTGCATGTTTGCTGAGGGTGCACTAGATCCCTTTGTCTGTGTCATTAATGGAAATATTAAATAGCACTGGTAGACATTAAACAGCACTGGACAATTTTGTATGTAAAGTCTGACATTCTTGGTTAATTTTACTTTGTAGGTAGCAAAGACTTCAGAAAATACTCAGAAGAAGCAGCTGACTGATGCTAAAACTCAAACCAAAGAATCAAAAAATAGTGGTATCACATCTGAACACATCTGTAAAACTGCTTCACAGGTGGATATTGCCATGGAAGAACATGATTATTGTACACCTAGCAAAAATAACAAGAAATCTGAACCAGATCGTGAGAACTCTGTAAAAGAGAATAATGTTAAGCAGGAAACTGTCATCCCAAAATCTCCTGATTTGCATGGCAGCCTCCTTGTCTCCAGTGACATGAGTAGTCATCCTGATTTTGATGTTTCTAAAACTACAGCCGATGTCCAGCAGGAAATCCCAAAGGTCCCGTCCTCACATTCCCAAGAACATGCTGACAGTAGTGTACAACATACCAGTTCTGTATTTCCATTTAATACCTCTGAATATCGTTTTGAATGCATCTGTGGTGAGCTTGGACTGGCTGACTACAAAGCTCGTGTGCAGTGCCTGAAATGCTACTTATGGCAGCATGCAGAATGTGTAAACTACAAAGAGGAAAACCTGAAGAGCAGGCCCTTCTACTGTCCCCATTGCCTTGTGGCAATGAAACCAGTTCCCACAGGAGCGACTCTGATAATTTCTCCAAGTTCTATTTGTCATCAGTGGGTAGATGAGATCAATAGGCATGTAAGATCATCTTCTCTTCGCGTTCTGGTAAGATTATATAGCTTCATGTTCTGGAGAGTTATTTTATCAAAGCTCAGGGCTTCCTGTCAGACATTCTGCGTTACTTGGAAGTTCAGAGGTCTCTTTGTTCTCTGTGTTAGAATTCTGCATTTCCTGCTGTAGATCTATGCTTTGGCATCACATGGTTCATTGGTGTCCCAGAAAGACTGTCTGCAATTAGTTTTTAACTTTTTTCTTTTTTAGTTGGTCACTGGGAGATAATACAGTGGACTAGGTATCTATAGAAAATGGAAGCAAATTTTGAGCAGTTGCAACAACAGGTGATTTCTGAGAGGGAAGGCTGTTTGAAAGACTACCAAGGAACTTAAAAAGGCCTGACTGTTAGGTGTTTTGAGTGTTGTCTCACTGTACACTTGCAACTAAGCAGCTCTCTGATTGTTGCTTCTTGTTTTGTTCTAGCTAAAAAATGTTTCAGTAGGTAAAGAGTGTAGTTTTGCATTTCTGGTTCTTGGGCTTTATGAAAGAAGTCTTGTGTCTTGGTGTTTACTGAAAACAACACCCTTACAACTTGGGCATTGCCTCTATAACATCTGTATATTTATTTGGATGTTGTTTATTTGGAGACCATGTATTATCCTTTTACTTTATTTCTAATAGCCCTGTCACTAAAATAAACCTTATTATACTTACAGTAAATAAGGCTATACAGGATTTTTTAATATATAGTTATCACAGTATTCAAGGGTAGCCTTTGTCTTTTACTACCAATGTAGTCAAGTTTTGTCCTTCATATTTTTAGTAGTCAAGAACCTTTGTAATGATCTAGTGCTTTGAAAACCATAGATCCCATATATTTTGAATAAAATAACAGTAGTAGTAGATTGATATAACTTTGTCTTCAGGGATATATCTTGTACCTTTAGCTGTTATGCATAGACACCCAATGTATAAGTGAATTCTAGGCCTCCAGTGCCATATGTGTGATCAGTCTTATTAGACTTAGTGCATAAATGTGTAAAACTCACATGGTTTTTCTAGGACCCAGTCCAAATTTTATACCAGCTTGGATGAAAATTGTCAGAAATAGATTTACATGGTAACAGTAAAATAGTTTAAATACTGACTGTCACTACTTGAAACTGTGACACCTTCGATTCTCGGTGATTGTTTTCATTTTCCTTTAACTGCAAACTGTAAGCAAGACTTGTTTTCAGTGTTACTTCAAAATGAAGATTTGGGGAGTTATTTTCTGTAGAGGTAAAACGAAGGTAGTGGAGGTGTTTAAAAATGTGGAGATGTTTAAAAGAACCGGTTTCCCATGTTAACAGCTTTTGCATTGCTTGTGAAGTGTGCTTTTTACTCTTCCAACTGCCTACAACCCGTGGGAAATTCTAATGGTTTTATGTAATAAACAAGAAATTAAAATTCATCAGTAGGTCTTGCTTTGTGGCAGGTTGTCTTTTCCCGCTGCTGTGAAAACAACCAAACCTTGGCCAAGTTATAAACCTCCAGAAAATCTGTTAATAAATACTTGAAGAAATCATTAGACTTTGACAGCTATTTATTTCTTCTTGTTTGCTTCAGTGAGCATGCTCCTTTTGGTTTGTTTGTTTCTTTTTTCTTCCCCTCCCTCCCTCCCTTCTCTCTCTTTTTTTTTCATGTGCAATGACCTGGTTGCACATGCTTTGTTGTTCCACTCTGGGGCTGAAAAGAAGGAACTTCTCTGCAGGTGTTTCTTTCAATTGACAGAAACACCATTGCCTTATGCACAAATGTAGAGAAAGATTATTACTGGAAGAAAAGGTATGATTAACAGTGAAGTTATGTGCTGATCATTAAGGGGTAAAGAGCAGTTATTTTATTTTTTGTATGCTTCTGAAAGGTTTTGGCTTAAAATTATGAGGGAGATAAGAAAAGTACTTCTGATAATAGAACAAATGTCAGTATGAAAGGTTTATAAAAATATTCTGTTGATGCACACGGATTGTTTCTTACTAGGGTATTCTTTTCATCTCGTAAGTCTCCACAGAAATCCTTTTGTAGATAAAACTTTACTCAGAGTATCATTTCTAGTTATTATATATTTTGATGCATCTCTCTGTCTTTGCCTAATCATCCATTAAATTTTTGTGGCAATGGGAAGAAAGGTAATGCATCTACAGTAAAGGAGAAAAGAAGACCAGACACGTAACTTACATAATGTTGTGCCATACAGCATTACTGAATACTTAATCTTCAAACAAATAACAACAAATTACAACAAATAACTGTTGAAGAAAATAACAAAGTCCTCTCTTCTTTAAAGGAGAAAAAAATGTTTTGCAATGTTATAAATAATTATACATAAAAATTTTGCATCAGTGACTGTATTGTATTTATTATTATGCTACTTAGATGTATTTCCCACCATGCTGGTGTATGAGTACAGATTTTATGAATGGTTTCATATTAATGAGCAACACTGCTAGAAGCATGCATATACTAAGCTGTACTGATATTTTGGCATTTTTATTAAAGTGTCTCTGATGTTTTCTTCTTTGCTATTGTGCTATTGAATATAAATCTATGTAGGTGTATCAAGGTGTGAAGAAGCATGGCTTTTTGCAGCCACACATGTTGGCGGAGCAGGAGGTGGTTATCACCACGTATGATGTCCTGCGCACTGAACTGAACTATGTGGACATCCCCCACAGCAACAGCGAAGATGGGCGCCGCTTCAGGAACCAGAAGCGGTACATGGCCATCCCAAGCCCCTTAGTAGCAGTGGAGTGGTGGAGGATCTGCCTCGATGAAGCACAAATGGTTGAATGCACTACTGCAAAGGTATGACATTTCTGGTCATGTGTTTATTTAACTTGAAAAGGTTTTGACAAGTTTATTGTAAATAATACAGTAGATTTCCTCTCCCCCTCTTAATGTTCAGTGCACTCAAGTAATTTGTCCTTGTCACTTGTTCTGTAGAAGTGAATTTTCTGTTGGAGATACTTACTATTAAATGGTTCTCCTGTTGGAATTTTGGCAGACTGTGAAGTTTATCCAGCTCAAAAAATACTTAACATATAATCTCTACTGACAGTTTAAAGAACTAGATCATCGTGTTGTGTACAGTGTTTGATAGCTTCAAACAAGACACTAGCCTGTTCAGTGGTATGATTCAGAGGCATAGACATGTCCTTTGGGTCTAGAAGCTAAAATAGCCAGCAGTCTGTCTGCAAACTCAAGAGATACAGTCTGCAGGGGGAGATTATTTTAATTAGTGTCTGTCCGATCTTTTTGCCCAAGACAGAAAGATAAAAATGCTACTTACATAATGGCTTATGGACTTTAATTTTTTTATTTTTTTTTAACATACATTTTCTTTTGCTGTCTGTTTGGCTTCTGTGAACTCTTAATTGCACTTGATTACTCAGAAGAGGATATGGCTTTTATCAGTTCTCAGTTACCTTCAGAAAAGCTCCAAAATTTTATATACATTTTCATATGTTTTACTGATGCTGCTTCTAATCTGCTAATGTTACATACTGAAAAGATGTTCAGACTTCTCAAAAATAAGGTCCACATGTTGTCAGACTGTGTACTACTCTTTGTTTTCCATTTCCTACCGTTGGCTCTATTTCCTTTTACTAGGCTGCTGAAATGGCACTCCGTTTAAGTGGAATCAATCGCTGGTGTGTCAGTGGTACTCCTGTGCAGCGAGGATTAGAAGGTGAGATTTTATGTAGCAGTGTCATCTGTGGGATTTCCCTATGCTGATAATTAGGTAGTGCTTTGAAGCAGTTAAAATATCTGCTTGTTTTGCTTTGAATTGATTAGGTACTCTGATTTGGTAAGCCATAAACTTTAAGCATGTAATAAAACCATCAATACTTTTATCAATATAAAAATTGCAGAGCTGGAATCTTTTTGTCTCCCTTAGTTAGACAGATACTTTGGACAGCAGAGAAGCTCTGTGTCCAACAGCTGATTCAAGTCTGTTCTTCAGTTTTCACTTAGAGTGGGTAAATATTAACCCTTCTCTATTGCAGCTATAGGTAGTCTGCTCTGGTTACAGAATCCTTTAAGCTGTCAAATACAGCAAGCAAAGCTGTATTTGCTTTTTGCATAGCCCCGTATGAACTGCTGTGGGCATCAACTGCCATGAATATAAATTCTGGAAATCATGCTAAAGCTTATGAAACTGTCTTAAGTCCTTATGTAAGGACTTAATGAATTGAGATGTGTGAAGTAGGTAGCTGTTATGTTAGCAGGTGTCATTTATTTTGTCATTTTTGTGAGGTACTCAGTTTCTGTAGACAGGCTTCAGAGAGATAGAAAAAAGAAAGGGAACTGATTAACTTCTGTGTCTCCTTGTTCTCTGATTGATTTAGGAATATATAGTACATGCTGAGACAGTGAGTTTTAAAGTGGATAAATCAGTGTAAGCATTTGTGGACTGTTATATGGATACCAAATTACTGAAGTCAATATTGTAGATTATTTCATTATGGAATTGTGAATTAAATTTATAAATACACACTATAGTTATGAGAATATGTAGTTAATAAGTCAAACACCGTAGAAGGAACTGATAGATTTTATTGTCATGGTTAATTTCTTCAAGTCCTTATATGTGATAGTCTTGATTTAATAAATATCTGAAATGTCCTATTGTGCATAATACGTATTGACAGTCTCTCAGGCTATGTTAAGGCAGCCTCCATTCACTTAGGGGATGAAAGCTGCTGACTCATTTCAATCTGTGGCACTGCTGCTGTAATACAGTTGGATAGGACCTCTGGGTAAACAATTGCTTCTTGCATAGAAATGATTCCCAGGATTTTTCTTCCCCTGGTCTATGATGTATTTGGTGAATGTCGCGATGCTTTCAACTGAATACAAAATTACTATAAACCTAACAGGAAAAGGAATGTAGCCACCAGATCTTTAGGAACTACAAGGTACCATCACATATCTCTGTTTTGGCACTGTCCGCTTGCAGCATTTAAATGTGTGCTTCTGTATTTTTCTGTTGAGATTTAGGCACAAGTTTAAAGTTAGAATGTCCTTAAATTTCATTCCAAAAAGTGATGGATTTCTGAATTAGGCAGAATTAGTAATTAAATTGTATTCTCTCAGTTAGCAAGAAAACAAAGTGTCTTTTGTTACTTCTTTATGTCTTAGCAGAGAAGCAAAAGTCTTCTGAATTGCAGCCCCTTCTAGGTGGTGGGCAGCAAACAGTTGGTGCACAGCAGGCTGTGAAGTAATGATACTGAGCAATGTTGTTTTAGAAAATCCTGGCAGGCCCTGTTAACCATATGCAGTCATGTAATTTCTGCCTCTTACCTCTGCTCTGAATAGGTTTAAATTTGTCGCTTTTTTCTGCTAAACTTGAAATTGGGAAAGTGTCTCACAAATAGCTATATTCTTTCAAGTTGTGTAGAAATCAACAGCTAGCTAAAGGAGAGAACCCCCACCTTCCCCTACCCAGTCCCTTGCCTAAAATTAAATATTTTGATGAGAAAATGACTGGAAAAGAAGTGCAGAAGATAATGACCAGAAGGTCATTATGCCTGGTAGCCTTTGTATGAAAGTTAATTTTTTGAAGGCATATTGTGAAGTGTTAAAACACAAACACTGTACTAAAACACTTTCTTTTCTTGGCAGATCTGTATGGATTAGTCCTTTTTCTTGGAGTTGATCCTTACTGGGTCAAACATTGGTGGGACCAACTTTTATATCGACCTTATTGTAGGAAAAATCCCCGGCCTCTTTACAGTCTAATTGCGAAGATAATGTGGAGATCAGCAAAGAAGGATGTGATTGATCAAGTAAGTAAGAGTTCTGAGTTTTAAAATTCCTGAACATCATTTATCAATAGTTTTATTTGTAAAATTACTTACTTTCTTCTTTAATTGCAGATTCAAATACCCCCTCAGACAGAAAATATACACTGGCTTCACTTCTCTCCTGTGGAGAGACACTTCTATCATCGCCAGCATGAGGTGTGCTGCCAGGATGCATTGGCAAAACTCAGGAAAATTTCAGACTGGACTCTTAAGCTTAGCAGCCTAGATAGAAGGACTGTGACTTCCATACTATACCCATTGCTACGGCTGAGGCAGGCCTGCTGTCATCCACAAGCTGTTCGGGGAGAGTTCTTGCCATTACAGAAAAGGTGAATTTCTGTCATTTCTTAAATGGCCTGCTTTATCCAGAGAAAAACTCTGATTGCCCCCAACAGTGCAAGATCTTGCACAGTACTCATCTTAAGCCTAATTTTAGACTTCTTTAATTAAATGTGCAAATATGATACACCAAGCTAATCTGACCTCAGAAGACGAATGGGTGCAATAGGGTTGTTAGTGTAATTCTTGTGTTAAAGAACATAGTACTGAGAGGCAATTTGATTTTCCAGTAGCATTTTAACCTTGCGATGTTGATGGATACTGGGGTGTTCCAGGTGAGAAAGTGTGAAACAAACCAGATTCTTCTTCAGTTTCAAATAAGCCCACTGATTTTCTTTTGTCTCTTACAAAACTCGTGTTCATGAATGAGAAAAATGAACAAAATGAATCAACAGAATAGAATAATTATTTAGTTCAGAGAAAATGTTAATGTGAGGTTGCAGAATTTTTAAATGTAGATCCTTTTTTTTTTTTTTTTTCATGCTTTCAAGATCATCATCTTCACAAGTGCCCTCCAAGTATCAGCTTGGTCTCAGCATTTGTTAGACCAAAAGCATGTTGCTAGCCCTATTGCAAAATGTAGCTGCTACACTTTCAATCAATTAGAGGGAGGCTGTGAAAGAACAGGCTGTTTCCATTCCAGACTCTGAGAGCACTGACTGGTTTTTTTTAACCTACAGGCAGAGAAGAACTTAAACTTTTAGCACTGCCAGTGTTATTTCTACTGTGTCCTAGTCTTGTTCATCCATTCTATTCCATCTCTTTCTATGCTTTATGAAGTTTTGTGTCTTACTCCTTCCCTCTTCTCATACAGGGCATCTGTGGTGCCTAAGCACCTGAAACTGGCTTTGCACCTGCTTCAGCAGAGATGAATAGTTAGATGCTGTGCTTGTAGCACTTTCTGTCGAACAGTCTGCTAGTGTGGAAACAAGGACTCAAACATAGGAGAAATCGATATTTCCACCCATACAAGATTATTTGCATTAAAATGAGCCAGTGTAGTATAAATGAAATGTATAAACTGAGCAGAATATGCTGGGCACTTCTTAATCCTGTGTTGATTTTGGTAGAATGGTTGCACAGTGACAGCTGCATAGTAACTGTGGTGGAAAAACCAGCAATGAGAATTAAATCTTTCTTAAAATCACATGTACAAAGAAAGCACTATTTCCATATCTTTTTTGTGAACCAAACTTGACTGCATCAGTAGACATTCCCAGATCAGAGAGAAGATTTGACTCCTGGCTTTGATTATATGTATGAAAATAATGAAGAAATTCACTGCTAGGGTTCTCCTAGTTTAACTGAGTAAAAAAGCTCTTCTTTTTGTCTTAATTGGTAGTCTCAGGCTGTGTATCAAATTGGATATTTTATATTTACATCCTTCTGCTTTTTAAATTTTTCTTGAAACTGCTGATGGTTCTGAAAATAAAAGGTAAGTGGCAACGGTGGAAGTATCAGTGTATGCAGGTGCTATGTGTATTTGCCATTACCTCTGCAGAATACACAAATAGTGATTATATTGATTTAAAGCCTGCTTTGGTATAACACTGTAGCATAAAGCCAAAAATCAGTTGCTGCAACTGGAACTATGTTGCAAAGAGGGTAAAATAAAGGCCTAGGAAAGTGTATCCTTCCAGCATAATTTGGGCACAGTCTGCGCAGGAGTTACATCACCTCTTACCTCTGTTCCACAGTGCTAAATGCCAAATAGTAAATGCTTCTCTAAAGGTGAATGAGGCTGAGGAGCAGAGTTTCAGGGGAGAAGGGTAGCGTCTGGTCTAACAGCAGTAGTTGGTCATAGAAACACCCTCAGGTCAGCTGTTGTAGGCTGTTGCTGCTGTTCACTCTCCTGTCTATCAGTCCTCTTTCTGCTTAGATTCTTTGTCCTGTGGCCTTACTCCAACCTATCCTTCTTGCTTCCTTCTTGCTTCTTTTTCATTTCTGTTCCTGCTTCGCTCTCTTCCCTCTCCATTTCCTGTATTTTCATATTAAGTTAATTTTCTTCTGACTAAATTCCTTTCCTAATTTATAAAAATGACAAAAGTAGAAAAAGAAGTTTAAAATTATTTTTGCTAATTTTCCCTGTTTTCATTTCACACATTTTTCTTCTTTACATTGATACGTCATGTGCGTTACATGTTTAGATTGGTAGCAGAGGGTAGAAATGTAGTCTCTCATAGCTGTTTTCATCTGAACAGCTTTTGGCAAAATGAGGTCTGATTTTCCATGTTTCTAGTTCATACTGTAACAGAAAGAGCAAAATATTTTTCCTCGTGAAAGATTATTTTACCTAGTTCTAATTTTCTTCTTGCTTATTTCTTTCTGCTCTTAGGGGATGTCAACCTCTCAACACAGTGAAGTTAGGGGAAAACTCCACCAGAAAGCAAGGCTGACAGCTAGGGTTTTTTTAATAAGTAAATAAATATAAAAAAAACCATTGTACAGTATGTTGGATGCATGTAACCATCTTTAATGCTGCACAACATGACAGTTTTATTTCTCTAGTATTGTGATTTTGTTTCAGATTTGAGCCATTTGTTCTCCTTTTCAGCACCATGACCATGGAGGAACTGTTAGCATCTCTGCAAAAGAAATGTCGAACGGAGTGTGAAGAAGCTCACCGACAGCTAGTGTGTGCTCTTAATGGCTTAGCTGGTATCCATATCATTAAAGGTAAGATTGGATGACTGTAGTGCATCTGTGTGTACTGAGAGGATAAAAGAAGCTATACTTGTGTAATTGTACTTCACCTGCTTTTCTTTTATCAGTACTGCATTCTGGGCTTACTTTGTGCCCCCTGCCATGCAAACTGCTATGATGGCTGTGGAATCTCTTCCCTGCTGCCTGCTCTACAGCTCTGTCAATGTAGATGTTGTCTGAGTTATGAGGAAAAAAAAACTTTGAATGGGAAGCAAAAATAACTGTATTAATCTTGAGTGTCATTAAACAAAATGAAAATAAATTGAAATTACTTAGTTATGAGTGTGAAAAAATGCCTCTTTTCCAAGTTCTTCTAAAGTTGACAAGCTGTTTGAAATTTTCCAGCTCATGTTAAAATCTTCCTTCAGAGAGGAAAACCCACAAACTGCTTTTTCTGTTACTTGCCTTACAGAAAGACTACATTCAGATTCTCTAATCTGTAGTTAGTAATTATTAGGTTTGAAATACTTCATTATGATTGCAGAATGTAGATAAGTGTTTCAGATAGAATTAAGTGCTTTAAAAGATTTATATATAGATGAAACACTTCTAAAATACACTAGAAGCAAAAATTAAGCTTGGCTTATTTTGAGAAGCAGATTGATGAAAATTTCATCTGGTGAGAAACAAAAGCAGGACTGAGGCAGAGTTCTGGTCTTGTAACTCCCTCCCCAGTGTTAGTATTACACTCAGTCTTCTTTATCAGTTAGAAGGAAGCACACCTTACACATATGTGAAGCCACAAATTTATTCTTCCTATAGTTGAAATCTTATAGGTCTAACTGTTATTAGTCCAGATCTAATTCTTACAGGCAAAAAAAGAGTAACAATCGCACTTACGTGTTTATACTGCTTGTCCTGCTTTTATGCTCACCTTTCTGCTTAGGCCCTTCTGGGTCCTGAAGTCAGTGGTTTCATAGAGGTGGTGGCAGTGCTATCACTAGTTGTCACTACCTTCATCAGGAGGAATAAGATGTTTGTGTTGATGGTTTCTTCCTCACACAAGGATCATTTTTATGTTTGCTAGCACACGTTTGCATCTTTCTCTTTCTTCATTGGTCTGCAGCTCCGTGAAAACACCAAATTTAGTGTACATAATGCCTTTTATGAATGTTACATACTCTTTCTTTGTTCTCTTTGTTGCCCCTAAAACCAGTTTTGTCCAGCTCTAAGCCTGCATTTCTTTGACTGTGGGTGAGTTGTTTATAGCCATGGCTTTCTTATTCACTGCCAAGCCTGTGCACCATCTCTTAGCATCCCATGGCTGTACCCTACACTGCATCCTATATATTACTTCTCAAGGCCTCTCCAATTGTTACTAGGCCTGTATTTCCTTACACTACATCATTGTGTTAGTTGTAAATATCTCATTCTACATGGAATAACTGCTTGTTACTGCTATCTATGTAAAACTGGGTTTGTACCACACAAAGATAAACAAAAGTTAAAAAAAGAAAATTAAAAATTAGCCATAGACACTTACCGAATGGCAGAAATTGCTATCCCAGCTAGACCAAGTAAAAGGTCCGGGTCAATCAAAATTCAAAGGAGGCCTGACAAGCTTCAAGCTTGAGGCCTTGCAAATTCAGCACATAGCTTTTGGCCTATTACTAGTAAGGACAATTCTATACTGCAGGACTACACCCTTACAACTGGCAATATTTTCAAGCAACAAATTTTGTTGACATAAGATTTTTACACTTCCAGATATGGAGGAAGATGATGGTTTTTTTACTCTGTTATGTGTCTTTATAAATTTCTTGTCCCTGTCCTTTGCCGTGTTTTAAGAGTCTCTAAGACTATTACTGCTAAGTAAATTTTCATCAATTGAGAAAAGAAAATTAAAATTTTTTTTTCCTGCTTTTCCATATGCAGTTTCAGTTTTGTTTTTCTTTTTTAATTTATATAATCTATTTTCTGAGAAGTGATTGTGATGTTGGTAGCTTACATCAGTAGTTATGCTCCCTGCATGTACCTAATCATTTCTGCATTTCTGAAGTGTGATACAACTTTCATTGTTTTTACTGGAACAGTGAATAATGTATTTGCAGTGCAAATTTAGCAATGCATCACTGCAGTGAGTTGTAGATGATTTTTTTTTTTTTTAGTGAAACATGAGATTTTTTGGACTTACGCAACCACAAATACATATTTTAAGATTAAGAGGTCTACAGATCTTGCAGTCACAAAAGATATTTAATTTGGAAATTGCATAGTTTTTGTAGAATATAATACTCTGTCTTTTACCATTTTCTTTGGGTGGTGGGAGGGGTGTGGAATAGAAAAGATTTTCTTGAAGACAAGCACTTGTTATACAGACTCTCTGTAAACATAGTATGTTTCAAATGATATAACTCTTGTTACATCAGGGTCAGTCATGGCTGCTTGTATATTTAAAAACCAACACAATATGTGTATGTTTTTGTTACTCTTTTTTTAATCAGGAGAATATGCATTGGCTGCGGAGCTATACAGAGAAGTATTAAGATCATCTGAAGAGCACAAAGAAAAGCTCAAAACAGATTCCTTGCAAGTGAGTGAGCACTGAAATGTAAAAAGATGTAGTTAAGAACTGGAATACTTTAGATTTAACTTAACAGGTCAGTCTTTTTTTCTTCACAGTGGTGTGCTGAATTATCATTTCAGCGTGCTGTCATGATCACAGTCTTTAGATAGGAATCTGTCCAGTGATTTAGGCAGGAATCTGTCCAGTGATTTAGGTAGGAATCTGTCCAGTGATTTAGGTAGGAATTGGTCCAGTGACCTTCATGTTTCCTTTTTTTTTTTTTAAAGGAAGAAAGATGCTATATTTCTAAACACTTGCTTGTGAGTCTTCATGATGTCCTTGAAGCAGTGTGTGATCTCCACCTGCTGTTCTGCAATAAACTTAACAAGCTGAATTCCTAGGCATGTGCATGTGACTGTGACTGCTCGCATTAATGTTGCTACATTGCATCCTGCAAATACAGGATGCTGGGTTTGCTCTGAGAGTGATATTAATGTGCCAAATGATAGAGAATAATAAAATTGTTGCACTGCAGAAGATAAAAAGGCATCAAAACATGAAAAAGAATCAAAGTGAATTTTCTCTTCAGACATTTGTCTTCATGTATTTTGAATACTATATTAAAAATATGAACATATTTTATTGGTAAAAAAAGCAGTGGTTATCTAAGTAACATCTTCAGATTTCTTCAAGAAATATCAGTTCTAAATTGGCCAAGATTCTCTTCAGCATAACAAGATATTTAAAATGTTAATGATAGATAAATAAGAAGTGATCAGTTGTCTCTTTGCTTACTTTGCTAAATAAATTATTGTTTGATTATCTTGCATGTGGTCATCTGATGTCTCTGTTACGCTTCTTTGATTTTTCCTTCTCTTTTGTGACTTCCTGGTGGCTTTTTTCTCTTATCATAGCCATATTAGCGTAAACTTGTTAAGATACTCACAACAGGGTTGTTAATTAAACTCTTTTACTGGATTATGCAATCCAATAAAGCTTTTCCCCCCCCCTCAAAATACATGCTGCCTAATAATTGCTTTGGTAATAAAACTTCTGTTGAATGCTTCTCAGTCGTGTAGGTTTAGCTCTTAAGGATAACAGCAAACCGCTGCTGACCATTCCTCTTTAGTGGCTAAGATAGTAATAGGACAAAGATAGAGTCAGTCCAGGAGGTGAGAGGGGTACAAGTTCAGATATAGTGGAGGTTATTAATACGAGTCTGTGGGAGCTGGTAGAGGTCTGTGCAGGTAGAGGTCTGGTTTGGGATACACAGGGTGAACCTAGGGAAGAGGAACAGAATTGCCTTGTATTAATGATCAAGTTTATTTTTCCTAAAAATAAACAAAAAAATCATGTTTTATTCAGTCATCTTTTATTTCAGAATAGTGAAAATATGACAAATGAGGCTCTTGGGATCTGGTATTTTCCTTAAACTTTATTTTACTGTAGATGGGCTAAATTAATTGTTTCCTTAGAATATTCTAAAAGACATTTACAAAAGAATGTGCTCTGAAATAAATAGTTTGTCTTCCATAATAGTCAAGGGCTGTTTTAATTAGTAGGGTGAGTATGGGAGAGTATTTGATGACCTGGTATCAAACTTGCTGCTGATTTACTTTTGAGATGTTGAAAGTCTTTAATTTCTTATTGTTTCCTGTCTGAGTAAAATGAGGAAAAGAATGTTTCTTTTCTTTATAAGGTGCTTCCACATTAACAGAGAAAAAATAATTTTAAATGCATGCTAATTTCTTGCTGTAAGCTTTCATTGCTGTTCAAGCTTTTCCTGTCACAGATGTTGCAATGGATTTTTTTCATGATTGCTGTTGACTTTGTGTATATTTAGAGACTTCATTCTACACATAATTTGATGGAATTGTTGGCAAAGCACCCGGGAATTCCCCCAACTTTGCGTGATAGCCGACTTGCAGAAGAGGTAAGCAGAGTTTGTTTTTATATAAATACATTTTGAAGAGCACATTTTTATTTTTTGTCCTATTTTCTCTAACTAAGGAAATAACATTAAATGGCTTTAAAGTTAACTATGTACGTTTCCCTTCAACTTGGTAAAATCATGAGTTGTTTAGAGTGTGAGATGAGAGCAGAAATGTCCAGTAAAATACTGCTGTTCCGAATGCTTAGTGGCCTCTGTTATGTTGTATGTTTTACGGAGCTTTTAATAATTTTTCTCTCTAAAATATTGCTTCCCTGTCCCCACAATGTTCCTATGAAAATCACTTACATTCTTTATCGTTAACATCTATGTACCATCCTGAATTCTTCTGAGTCCTTTATTTCCTCACGCTTTCTTTAGCTTTCCTCATTTTTAACTGCAAATAGTCAGTTTTCTCTAGGTGAAGTTTTTTATTTTTCTTAGGCCAGATGAGCAAATCACTGTGTATCATTTCCTGTGTTCATTAGCCTGTTTGACTGTATCCTTAATCTTAACTGGGAAATATCCGGCAAAATAGTGGGATTACTCTTCCCGACTGGTTACTTGTAGTGGAAATATGGACCACATTTGGAAAGGAATGTCATTACTGCGGCATTATTTGGGTTGAAAGGGACTTGGGATGTCACTAGCTGAATCTCCCTCTCAGAGTAGGGTCAGCATTGATTTCTGACCGGGTATCTCAGGGCTTTATCTAGTTGGGCCATTAAAATCTCCAAGGAAAGAGATATCACAGCTTAGCTGAGTAACCTGTTCAGTACTTCATAATTCTCATAGTAGGGAAAAAAATTCACACAGAACATCTCAGTTATCATCATCATGGCTAGGCTTTGCGAACGAAGATTTGGGAATGTTGCTCCGCACAGGATTCTAGCAGAAGTCGACCATTATCGTTGCAGTTTCCAACACCATGCTTGCCTAATCTAATATTCCTTTCCAACACCATGCTTGCCTAATATTCCTTTCCAAATAGCAGTTGTACCTTGTTCACTTACCATGTACTTCAGTAAAATACCTACCAATCCAGGTGGTTTCCTTCTGGCTGCTGCAAGGTTGTTCTTTAGTACCCTCTAAGCCTCTCTCGTTAAAGCTGCACAGGCCCAGTTCTTACAGCCTCTCCTGTTTTGCAGTGGTGATCAGTATCTGTCTTGTTATTTGGATATCTTATGATATTTTATCATTTTTACACAAAACGTAGGTATGGGTAGCATTTTTTTTTGTTTTAATGAGACTTGTTTTCTTAAGTATTTAAAGTTTCTACCCACCTTTATAGAAATAATATAGAAATATTGCCTGTTTTTTATTGATCTGTAATTCTAGAAATTTTCAAAATGTCACCTTCTCCTGGCATTGTTATAAAAAAGGGGATTGGATAATTTGTATTTTTTTTATAAATGTGAAGCAGAGGTGGTTTTTCATAGCTGTCTTTTGCCAGTAGCTCATCTAAATCCCCAAGAGTCCTGTCCACTCCAGGCAAACTGGGCTCTGTAACAACAGTATAATTATCTTAATAGTAGCAAACAAAAAGAAAGACTTAAACACACACTAAAATGCACTAAATTAAGGTACCTAGTGAAATCAGTATGAAATTATGAAAGATAAATGTTACTTGTAAGTTTTTTGTTCATCAGTTTTTAAAATATGAAATAAACTGATACTGGTTGCATGGTGGAGGCACTTGTATACTAAGAGGGGTTTTCACTGTCAGAAGTAATTTCTACATAATTTCTATGAAAAATTATATTTGATGCACCTAAAAATAATGAAATGTAAGCCTTTCTTGTTATTTCATGACTAAGTTTTATATGTAGACAAGTTCAATTTTCCTGTTCTCAGATTGTTCTGAGATCTTTTTATTGTTTGCTTATTCAGCACAATACATTTATTGTACAGATAAGTAAGAATAGTGAGTTAAATTCCCGTTCCCTTTCGTAATGAAATGTATTCCTATTGTGTTGTTTGGGCTTGTCCAAAAGTGAAGTTTCATAGTTAGCATCTTTGAACCAATTTGTCTTCTCAAATGGTTTTTGGGCTTACTAATAAATGCTAGATTCTAGAGGAAAAAAAATACTGCCAAATATTACAAATGAAAGTGGGCAGCGCATAGGTAGCTAACCATTTTAAAACATTTTGGTATCTGGGGAGTTTTTACATTTTCCATTATTCCTCCTAAATATGATTTGTCTATAATTTAAGCTCTTATTTCCATACAGGCAGAACAACTTCGACAACATTATATGAGTAAATCCAATGCAGAAGTTGCAGAAGCCCATCAGGCCTTACAGCCCGTTCTTCAGACCATTCGGGAGCTCCAGAGAAAGGCAGGCACCTCTTAAATATTTTGTCTCTGAATTTTGAGATTTTTAAAAAATACTATTTTCATCTCTATATGCAGAACTCCAGCTGTTTATTATTTCTAACAGTTTTTTGATGACCTATTTGGAATGGAACTTCCCACAGGCTTACTTCACGCTTACCACAGACCCAAAACATACTCTGTGTTCCCCATATAAAGAGGCACGCAGTACTTGATGAACAGATGACTTAAAACAGAAGTACGTGGTGGGGGATGATTCTAGTAAAGTTTAACACCATTCTTGATTTTTAAATTAACTGTGCTTCACCCATAATTTAGGAAAATAAGTTATAGATTTGGGCCTTGGAACATTTCTGTGGTGTATCAGATGGTATTTCAGTTGCTTTCAAGGGAACTGATTTTTGGCATGCTGCTTAAGGCTTAATTGTGTTGAGTCAATATGACAGTTCAGATTTCAGAGAAAGGTGCAAACCCTTAATGAATTGATGAACACCTGAATTAAAAGGGTGCTTGTCATTTGCATAATAGTAAATAAATAATAAAGAAATGAGGACAAATAGCAGATGAGGAAGTAAACTTACGCATCTTCTTTCACCTGTTAAAATTATAAGGTCGCTGTTCTTGCTCTGTTAATTTCACAGAGAGCTTTGCTTTCTCTCATTAAATGATCTTTTCATCTCCTTCTGGGAGAGAGAGAGAAGAAGGAAACTTTGAGATCACAATATCTTTATGTGGCTGTTCTCTGTAGATAGTCTTGGTGAATCTAACTCTACTGAAGCATTTTGAAGGTGTAGAAATAGATGAGAATGTAGAAAGTTTCTTAATCATGTGCTTACACTTCAGCAGAAGAGGGGCTATTTTTTAATCATGCTCTTAATCTTCCACTTTCAGGGAATTAACCAATCTGTTTGGCTGTGGCCTAAAGAGCAGTTAGGCCTAAAGAGTCATTACGCCTCTGCTGCAATGATTAAATTGTTTCTTTGTTGAATGTTCAAGGATAAATCTATTATTTTTCATACAGATACATTCCGGTTCTCCTTGGTGGTTGGATGTCATCCAGACAGCAATACAGTATGCCATTGATGAGGAGCTTGTTCAACGCGTACAAAACGAAATAACCTGCAACTACAAACAGCAGACTAATAAACTCTCCATGGCAGAGAAGTAAGAGAGTAACTAAAATAGTCTAATGAATACAATTAAGTCTGTTCAAGTCTTCTTATCAGTTTGTGCTAACAGTTGCAATTAAATAGCAGCCATTTTTGCTTCAGAGCATCTGGACTGCAATTATGTTTCAAAACCAATCCCTGAAAAAGCTGGCTATATAGAAGACTTGGAAAGAAAAGTAGGAGAATTACCATTTTCTCTTAGATGAGCATTCTCTGAAATAATTTTCTGTATTATGAACTATGGTTTTTACAGTCTTCTGTACTCATGCAACTGCTGATCAAGAAAGATTCAAAGTTTATTGCATTTAACCTATAAAAGAAATTGACTTGCGTAAATGGAAAGTAGGCAGACAATATCAGAAAATCCTTATGTAGCACCATAAGATAATATCACTCTCTTTCGGAGCAAAGAATTTTGGGTTGGTTTCATGTTAGAGACAACAGTACCACTGTTTTTTGGGTTCAATTACAGAACAATGGATTCAGAAGGGACATCTGGAGATCACTAGGCCAACCCCCAGCTTATAGGTTCAGGCCTATGCTCATTCAACCCAATCAGGTTGCACAGGGATTTACCCTGTTAAGTTTAGGTTATCTCCAAGAAGGAGATTCAATAGCTTCTATGTGAAGTCTGTTTCTGGTATATGATCCACTTGTTGGAAATAAAGAAACATTAAAATCCTTTTATCTAGTTAATATTTCCTGTGTTGCATCTTGTGTGCAGTCTCTTGTCCTTTCACCAGGTGCCTTTGAGAAATATTTGGCTCAGTCTTCTCTGTACCTTCCAGTGAGATAAATGTAGAAAGCAACAAGTGAGCATTCTCAGTTTAAGGTTGAATAGACCCTTTTCTCCCAGCCTCCTGTTATATGTTCTGTGCTGAAGCTCCGTAAGTTTATCACAAAAGGGAGACATAGGAAGGACAGTGCTCTCGTAGTATAACTTCAGGCAATTTTCTCAGATACATGAACTTGGGCTCTTAAATACAGTCTTTCTGAATGATGTTTTTAGTTAAATACGTTTTTATTATATTTATTATATATAAATAGATGTATATAAATGCATATACATATGTATACAAATATCTAATGTGCTTATAAAATGTGTATGTGTGTATAAGTTTAAATACTTAAGATATACACATTCAATACATAAAGATGTATCTTCCGCTATGATTATTCTGCTGTCATGATCCCCAAAGGTCACAATTTCTTGCCCTTGCTGCAGGTAAACGTACCCTTTACTTTTCAGTACTTAACATAATTCTATTGAATAATCTAAATAGAGATACATATAGCTCTTTTTTTTCAGCACAAGAGGCAATGGGCACGTACTGAAACACAAGATGTTCCCTGTGAACATCGGGAAATGCTCTTTTACTGTGAGGGTGATTGGGTACTGGCAAAGGTAGCCCAGAGAGGTCGTGGGGTCTCCATCCTTGGAGATACTCAAAAGCTGTCTGGGCATGGTCCTGGGCAACCAGCTCTAGGTGACCCTGCTTGAGGAGAGCAGTTGGACAACACTCAGAAGCCCCTTCTGATCTCAGCCAGTCTGTGAGTCTGGATATAAACGTTTCCTGTTTGAGTTTTCATTTGAGAATGATAGCATCACATTCTGGTCAAAATAAATAAGAGGACAGCATTGTTTGTATGTTCATGCAGAATTTGTATGCATATGCATCTATCTGTATGTTTCCCAGTGTCATACTGATTATTTTTTTTCCTCAGTTGAAATTAGGTATTTAGAAAGTATCTTCTTAAATTGTTGCTGCTTATAGGTTGTATAACTTTGGAAAAGCTATCTACAACTCAAATGTTTATTTAATAGAGTAGGGATAAAATTTAATTCCTTTTCAATTTATTTTAGGATATGAGATGACATCTTAAAAAACAGTGTCTTATGAAGTGTTACTGGTCAGTGGTGAAAGCAGCAAGTACTCTAACTGAATATAAGACATGATTAATCCATGGTATAATGTGGGAGATTTTTATAAAGCTGGTATTATTTGGCAACTGATGGTATTAACAGCAGACTCGTGATTGCAATTTACATGTATTTTCAGGCTACCTTGTTAGGAAGATTTGTCTATGTTACTTAAAAATGCATATTACTTAAGTAGGTCATATTAAATTCCAGGCTTTAGTGGTGGTGTTAAACCTGTGCTTTGATCTCTACACTTTACAAAACAAATGTTTTGGATCAAACTTTCCTTGTGGTCTAGAACTACAGTCTTGTCCATGAATGTCAGACCTTGTAGGAACTGTGCACTTTCAGCAAGAGACCTTTGCTCACAGGAAAAACACAACATGGGAAGTGCTTAACTTGTTTTCATGTTTCCACTCCAATTGCAAAAAACACCTAGGTTTTAGGAAAATAGTTTCCTGTTATGTCCATTTAATAATTTTAATTTTGAAACCTAACTTGCAGAATGAAGTATATTTTTGTGATGGGTGCATTTGTCTGCTGTGAATTGCACAGGTGCATTGCAAATCATTTTGTTGGCCAACAGACACAAGTAAGACTATGAGTATGTGCAGTCGTTTACCTTTAGTAGATTTGCATTGTGGACCAGAATGTTGCGGGTTGGTGTTCACTACTAATATTTGGTCCCATCTCTCAAGTCTTGGGAAGAATCTTTCTATTCTACAAATACCATCCTCTCTGGGCATACAATGGAGTGATTTCTGACAGCATTACATGCAGTAATAATAAGCATTTGCTTATGATATGAACTTCATATGTTGTCCTAGATTGCTCTTTAGCTATTTTTCTTCCACTTTAAAACACTTAATTAAGTTTGGATTTGGTGACTCGGTGTACAGTTATTTCCCTTTGTCTTTAAATCAGATTCCGTGACTGCAGAGGCCTTCAATACCTGCTCACAACCCAGCTGGATGAAGTGAAGAAGTTCCAAAAGATTGTAAGAGAAGCAGTGAAAAACTTAGAAGGGCCTCCTTCTAAGCAGGTTATTGAGGCTGCCACTATCTGCCATTTGCGACCTGTTAGACTTCCACTCAACAAGTATGTCTTGAAAATGGAAAATATACTTTAGAAGTGGATTATTAAATTTTCCTTTATTTCAAATAACACGTTGAAGTCTTGATTATGTAATCAGGGGCTGTATGCACACAGATATCACAGATCCATTTGTTAGAATCATGACCTTTGGTTTTATTCCTAGAAAATCTTTTCCTGTCAGTTATTTTATTGAGTGTACATATGACAGTTAATTTGTTCTTTTTTAAGGATTTTGTGTGGTTTTATATGGTGGAATAGATATATGGTAATTACGTTGGTTTCTGATGAAATTCTGAGTGCATCCATTTTCAATTTTCTGTATTGCAGCTGTGTCTTTTGTAAGGCTGACGAATTGTTCACAGAATATGAGTCGAAGCTCTTTATGCATAGGTAAGTTCATAGCTTTATAAATTTATCACTTAGAAAAGTGAAAGTTGGATTGCTTTATGTTTTCTTCTTGAAGTTTTCTGAAATAACTTTATGAACTAATTACAGCAACTTCTTGCTAATGGCCTTGATAAAGGTTTTATTAGGTTTAATTTTCTGTGTAAATGTCATTTGAACAAGCTGTGTACAAGGAAGGGATTTATACCACTTTCTATCAAGCTGCTGTAATATGACCATACATTTGAAATGAAGTGTTGAAGTGTTCAGAAAGTGTGTGTATAAATACAAGTATGCTAATTTAATACTGTGGTGGTTTGAGACCACTACAAAAATCCAAAATCCAATTTCCAGGCTTCCCCCACCCCTTCCCAATATTTTATCTCAACACCGAAGAGAAATTTTCAGGCAGACATCTCTGGGGGAAAGGGAAGTATATATACATTTATTTTACACAGATAAATACTATACAAGCTAAAAGTAACTATATATATATTGTTATACACTTCTATCAGTCTCTTCAAGCCTCTCCCTTTAAGTTTAGTCCAGGAAAAGCCCTTAGGCCGATAGGTACCCAGTCTCTCTCTCTCATGGAGTGTTCGGGGAACCTGAACGCTCCCCCACCAACCTCCAGCTGTTTGCTGAAGTCCTTTCTTCCTCATGAGGTCCAAGAAGATAGCTCTGAGTCCATCCTCCTTGGTTCCGTGTCAGTCTCTGCTGTGTCATTCTCTCTCTCACTCTCATACCTTGGTTCGTAGGCTGCTGTAGTGTAGTCAGCTTATGAAATGTACGTGTCCTGGAATTTCATTCCTCCTCCGTGTTTTTGGTTGTCCTGCGTTTAAATCACAGCAGGACATCCTCCAGGCCTGCCTCTCGTCCGTGTCCAATTTCGCCTGGGGTTTTTTCTCCCCCTGGCACCAAGCTGCTTTTGTTATCAGCCCGTCTCTTTTGGCTCAGCTTCAAAATACTAAGCCTCGCATCCACTCCCACTTAACAGTGAGAGGGAAAAAGTTCCCGCTCAGCTTTTGCTACAGGTGTTCAGTCCAGTTACGAACTGTCCTGAGCTCTGCAGTCTGGCTGGAAAGGGGGGGGAAAAGATGGTCTGGCCTCCTCGCAAGGAGCTTACCTCTCTCTCCCTCTTATCTTCAGGTGTTGTGAATCCCTTCCTTCACAACACACACTCACTTCAATGCTGCCTCCAACCCTGGCTTAGGCAGAGTTGTGGGGCTGCAGGGCCCCCCTTCTCCCCCTGGAGGGGGAAGAAGGAGGCCCTGCCACCCCTGGCCTTCTACACCCACATACAACAGCAGACACAGACTGATTGCCAACCACTTCCACCGGTTGTGTATATATGATTTTTCAGCAGGAGCGAACAAGATGAATGGTGATTGGCCCTCCAGGGAACACTACCTTGGCACCCAATCACCTCTGGGCCCCCAAGCTTCCAGGGGGGGCAATCTCAAACTATGACAAATACATATTCTTCTTTGTGCAAATATTTATTTACAGTCCAGTTGCAAGTGGTATAATACCATCCTCATTCAATGTTACAATGAGAAAGGAGATCTCAGACAGGAATGCAGCTGAAAGAAGGGTGACACCAGCACATGGTGTGAGAAGTATGCATGGTGGACAGTACTGAGAGGCATAGATTACAGTCCTTTGCATGCTTTCTCTTTTACTTTTGTCTCTCATATTCCTCAATGTCAAAATTGGATTCAAAAGTCTTGAGGTCAACGAGAAAACATTTTGAAAAGTCTTTACTAGTGGGAGCTCTGTTACCTCATGATTGCTGGAATCAGGAAACATCAGCGTGTTTCTAAATTAGCATTATTTGTCAAGGAGGGAAATGGGAAGCTGTAGTGTTCTTAAATAGTGCAATACACAGCAAATTTTGTGTCAGAATTTAACTGCAGGTCTTGCTTGTATAAAAGGCCAGAATTGATTTTTTTTTTCTTAAATGAATATGACATGAATAACTCCTGAAAGATAATTTAGATGCTTAAGCCTTTACAAAAGCTGGGGATGATTTTGAGTTGACAAAAATGGCCTTATAGTGGTTTCGTTGCTGATACTGAGGTCACTCTGTTCAAAGCAAGCTATTGAGGCGTTGGGTAGTCAAACAGCTATTTATCCTTGTTTGGTTTGTATTATCCTTTAATCAACTACTAGAAGGCTGAAATAGATGACGAGTAAGTAGAAATGAACGTGTAAGTACAAAATGAGTGATAAGTGCTGTACTGGGTTTGTTTTTAAGTGTTAAAGGCCAAATGGCAATATTCGAGGAGATGATAGAAGACCAAGAGGGGCTTGTTGATGACCGTTTGCCCACTACAAGTAGAGGACTGTGGGCAACCAGTGAAACTGAACGTGCCTTGAAAGCTCTTCTCTCCTTTGCCAAAGCTCACCGAATGGATGTTAGGCTAACTGAAGAAGGGAGCGTATTTCTGGAACTCTTTGAAGCATGGAAGAAGGAATATAAGGTACAGTAAATGAGATGGTGACAAAACAGTTGTCATTTAATTTATTATAAACAAGTTGAAGCTGAATATTAACACATCTAAATTGTATGCCTGAAATTAGGCTTTGCCTACACCAAGCTTTTCCACAGTGCTTATTACAGGATTTGATTCAAAATGGTTTATATATGATTTGAGTTTCTAAAAGCTATACTGGCAACTAATCAAATTACTAAACAATATAATTGCACCTATTAAGACAGTATACAGATATAATTGTGTTCATCTGTTTACTTAAGTCAGAATGTAGCAAGACTCAGCAAATCCAATGTTATTCCATTCTGTAATTCAGTTTATCTTCAGTCTTGTGCTAGCTACAGATGTACTTTCACTACTGTTTTATTTCCTGGATCTTGTTTACTACACAATGTAACCTGAAAGAATTACTTTCCTGTTTGGATCAGAGAGAACTACAGAAGTGTTCTGTGCCTTTCTTTATACATCCCTGTGTTTCTGTGTTTCCTTGCTTTGAATACATACTGGTGATGGAGATGGGGGAAGAGCTATTACACACAAGGCTCTCATCCTGTCTTATAGCTTAGGTGTAATCAAACGTTTTCTCTTGAACATTTCTCCTTCTCATTTTCAATTAACACGGACATCAGGTTCAGTAGAACACACTTGGTACACTAGTGCCAGGTTTATCGATTCTTTTGTACTTTCTTCTGGAATGTTGGTGTTTTGGGTTTTTTTGTTTGTGGATTTTTGTGTGGTCTGACATCAGACCTGATGATTCGCCAAGGAATTCCTGTTCCTTGGCGAGTTTATGCCCATGTGATCTATCTCCCAGGTCTGCTGTTTCATGATTCTAGGAAATCAACAAGTTACCTAACTTGCTTTTTCCTAGGAGGTTTTGAAAAAGCAAAGATGCTTATTACTATCCAAGAATTTAAGCATTTGTTATTAGCTTTAATCTATAGACGAGCAGGAGAAGATACTCTATGGAGTGATTTATTTTTTGTATCTTAGATTAACAAATGATATTCAGTCTGTCTTTGTTTTTCAACAAACTTGGTTATGGATCACCTACTTCCTCAAATTGGGAGTGCTCATTAGGAGTAAAACTTAATCTGGATCTGCCTTTAAAAATTGCTAGTTTACAGTGTAATACAGTGCAAAAGCTTTATAAACAAAATGATGTCTCAATCAGCATTTAGGTGTCTGGTAGTTAAAGTTATTAAATGCCTAAGAGTTGTGCTGCTCTCACAAGGTTAGGCCACTTGCTTATGGTACCAAAATGCTGATTGGAGAATAATGACCATTCTCATGACTGTTCCCATGCTTCATTTTTTGTGTCCTTGGCTTGTAAGAGTTGACAAAAGGAGGAGGACATAAGGTAACTAGTTACCAAGGCATTGCTATGTGTTGGAAATTTTCTGCTGCAAGAAAGGACACAGTCCCTTCATGTGCCTCTACATGAGGAAAAAAAAGATGGGACTAATATGCCGATGAGAATAAAATAGTGTCATTATGATTCCATCTGTAATATACATGGAAATGCTGATTCAATGGTCTGTACTACTCTAATCTACATTGAGCTACAAGGATGATACTCTGTGAAATAAGCCTTATTTTATTCAGCACTTGTTTAGTCTTGCAAGAGATTTGTTTCTGACTGTTAAGTTGCATTAGTTACTGTAATACTAATAGTTGTAGAAGAAATGAGAGACAGCTATTTATAGTTGTTTATACAAAGAGGTTGGAAAAGAAAGCCGACGGGATGATGTCTATACTGTTTGTTTTCCTTTGTGATTTGTTGTTGTGGTGGGTGAATAATGCAAAGAAATATTACTCCTTCCTCCAAAAAATTGTCACATTTTCCATTTTATGGCAAAATCACATAAGAGGAACTCAGCTCAGTTCTGCTGTTGATTTGTTTGGGGTTTTCTTACAGTTACTTCATGAATATTGGATGGTACTTAGGGATCATGTGTCTGCTATTGATGAACTGGCAATGGCTACAGAAAGACTGAGAGTGCGTCATCCTGATGAGCCAAAACCAAATCCACCAGTTCTCCACATCATAGAACCACATGAGGTGAAGTACTGGGCAGGAAAGAATGTGTTTTTTCTGAAAGAACCTACCTCCTACAAAAATAAAATCTGTATCTTGATGTATGTATAAGGTCTATAATATATGCCTCTAGTTCAATTTCAGAAAGGGTTGGTGGAGTATACAGTTCCTATATCAGTATATGGACCTTTTTGAGCTTGTAACTCTTATTTTGATATATTTTTGTTGGCCTTCTGACAGAGTGGCATTTTTCCAAAAGCCTGCTGATTCCTTACCCATATTGCTACTTTCCACAAGGACCTGTAAAACAGCAGTGAACACCTAGAAGACAAATCTTTTCGTCAGTATTTCAGTATGCTCAGGAATTTCTGAGCTACATCTGAGAGACTTTCTGTTCATGATGATAGAGAAAATGCTGGGTTGATTTAAATTCTTAATTTAATTTTTTTTGCACCAATAGAAATGTTTTCACTAGAAACATTTTGTATTTTGTTTCAGTGAGATTGAATGTTAGATAAAAGTACTTCTTTCTGTAAGGAAATAGATATTTCATCTGTGTGTTGAAACGATTTTTAAAACAGAGCACTTTGCTTAACAAATATGTAACAAAGTTTTAAGAGTTATGTATGTATATGCAGTCAGAAAAGAAACACCCATTGCTTTGGCTTTCACCCTTCAGGTGCCTGCCTCTTCTGCAGTATTAATAACTACTCACTATCAACTGTAATTAATCTAAAAAGAAGTCAGTTTTATGTTTGTGTCTTTGTATAGGTTAAATGAAAAGTGTAAACTTCTGAGAAGTATAAAGAAAATAATTTTTTCTTACACATTGTTTTTGGAATGAGCAGTTGAGTCTAGGATATATATGGCTGTAAGAAGATAGATGATCAATTCAAAAGAAACTTATAAAAAATAAGTGCTTTTAATTTGATTTTGTCTCTGTAAAGAAACGATAATGCAAATAAAACGATAAAAAAGAATCTTCTGTACTGCCTGGGTCACAGTGCTGTGTTCATACTGAGTGCAGGAAAGGAATAGATAATCATTTTTGCTTGGGGAGAAGCACATCTTAAATTTACACCATGAGCTGTTCTTCTGTCTGTCCCCAGTAAATTATTGGATGGTACTTAGGGATTTATTTAAGCCTTATTGTAAAACTTTACTATTTTTTTCCTTTGTTAATGCGTGTTTAATATTGTTTTCATAGGTAGAGCAAAATCGAGTGAAACTTCTGAATGACAAGGCAGTTGCCAAATCACAACTTCAGAAGAAATTGGGACAACTTCTATATCTCACTAATCTGGAGAAAGTAAGATGAATGATTCCATGGTCTTTACCCAAATGATGTACTCTGTTTACCCAGTGGAAGAAACCTACCATTATTTTTATTTAAAACTTCCATCTTAAAGAAATTGTATTTTCTGTGAAGATTCATTGCATATTGAAATTCAGTGTGTTGTTCTTTGTGTTACTGTGTAGTCATAAAATTATTTATTCCATTATATATTTTGGTTATTTGCTATTGCACACTGAAAAAGCTATGAACTCATTGGAGATGCTTAAAATTTTCATTAAAAGTAATGGGCCACGTTTAGTAGAGGCTTTATGAAATGATTTAACTTTCCACTTACCTTTGCTATTTTACAAAGAGGTTACCTTCTTAAACAGGACAATCATGTCTGGAGGTTAAATACGTGTAAAAAAAATCAGACAAACCCCATGTATTATATGTTATTTTAGTCATAGTGTTCAAGTAAGTACAATTATATTTAAGTAATATAGATTAAGCAAGGATTTAATTGTTTCTACAACATGTGAAGCTGATAGAAAATATGAGGAGTTTCTTATTTGAAGCTTGTATTTTACTGGGATTTTTCAGAGTTGTTGTAGAGCTGCAGCTGCTATATGAAGGACTGCAGAATGAAAAGTGCTCCTTTTACTTACCATCATTGTATATTTTTTTAACTTCTCAAGATATGCTTTATTCATTAACATATTTTTAATTTGTTCACACAGTAGGGTTTCTTTTTAAGGACTTTATTATTCATTTTTTCTAGAAGCTTGTTTTAAACATAGAATAACTTCTTCTTTTTTGAAACACAAAGTTGATATTTTTCTTCTACTTTATAGTCTCAGGATAAAACTACTGGGGGAGTTAACCCAGAACCGTGTCCAATCTGTGCTCGTCAGCTGGGAAGACAGGTAAGATACTTTGTCAGCAGGTTTTAGCTTTAGAACATTTTTACCTACAGCTGAGTCAGCAAATTTTCAGCATCTGATTTAAAATTAACATTATATTGAAACAGGGGAAATAAACCCTTTCCTGTAATGTACCAACCAGACTCTCCCCCTGACATAATGTCTTGCTCAGATGCAAGCACCACTACTGCCTTTAGCTTTTGACATCAGTGCTTAACTGTTCCAAAAATGTGACTTCCTGATTGTTTTATAACCCTGAAGTTATACTTTCGTCAGAAACATTTGTTTGCCATTTAGAAGCCAATAGATTGAGGAAATAGATAAGCTTTTTGTAGTATACTGTTCTATTTTACTGTAGCTGCTCTTATTGACAGTATTTTTTATTTCTAAATAAATGGATATTACCTACTTAAACAGTAGTAAAATCCAGTAGATTAAAGACTGGCAATCTGTATTTCTTTCCCCACCACTTACCTGCTGAACTGTGGGAGTTGAAATTTAAGTGGGACTTAATCAACGTCATAAAATACAAAACTATAGTTTAAACTTGACTTACCATGCATTAGGTAAGAACATGAAAGGACTCCTGTACAGTCAAACTAAATTGTCTCTTTTTTTTTTTAGGTAACTATTTTAAGGTGGTTTAGCTTCTTTATAGACATCTGTAAGCATGAACTGGTGTCCTGCTATGTTTCCAAAATCCCCTCTGTACTTTTCTTCCAAGGGTAGTACAGGTTTTTACAGAGAACAGCTATTTGTCCTGTTCACTGCCATTATGCTTTATCTTGGAGCTGGAGGAGCTCACTGAAAGGGAAAATAGTCTTTTCTTTTAACTTTCTTTATCTTTTCTTAATAGCGAGACTGCTGCTTTAGATAGTAGCAACCTTCATCTTGCAAGGAACTTTTAAAATACTTTGTGTCCTGTTTCTGCATGATTAAAAGAACTTTACGAAGCTTAAAAGACCTTCTGCTTGATAATCAGTTGTTTAGTCAATTCCCTCTGCTACTTGGTCCAGTGAAATCTGTTTTATTTTTCCTCTAAGAATGGCCTATCGAGCAGACTAGTACAGCGTAAGATACTATTTCTGGGTGCAAAACCACTGGTCTACAAATTGCTTCTCTGTTACAGAATGTCATAGCTGACACGTAGATGTTCTAGGCTCACAAGGGAGAACAGCTTCTGCAATGCAATCTGTTGTTTAAAATGCATTCTGTCTAAAAGAGATTAAGCCACTCTGTTCAAAAGATGTTGTCTAGGACTTAACAGTAGGGAAAAATTAAAGCGCTTTATTTACAACTTACTTAATAAAGACCAGCCTAATATGAATGCATAGGTAAAGACTTTTACAGGAGGCCAATGCTAACATTTTTGTAATTTTTTAAAAACTGTATAAATATTTAATCTGCATGCTTAACCTAGGCATTAAGAATCATCATTCATAGAAATGAAAGACTGTAAGGTCTTCACTGAAGTTCAAAACTGAGAAAATGCAAAAAATGAACAATAAATGCAGAAAATTTCTGTGGAACATGAATCTTTCTGTGCTGAAAAACTTGGAAATTCAGGCTTTTTAGCAGCTGGGATGCTAAAAATTCTAAAATTCTTCAATTTTAATCTGATGAATGTCATGAAAATAAAGCAATTTCTCTATGAAAATGTAATTTATCATATGTTAGTACACTGGTTTTCTTTTGAATTGATCCAAAACTGATACTGTGTTGTGTTGGGGTTTTTTTATCATTTCCTACATAGTGGGCAGTGCTGACATGTGGACATTGCTTTTGTAACGAGTGTATAGCCATCATCATCCAACAGTACAGCGTTGGCACCCGCCGGAGCTCAATTAAGTGTGCCATCTGCAGGCAGACAACATCCCATAAAGAAATATCGTATGTCTTTACTGCAGAAGCTGCAAATCAGGAGGATGATATTCCTGTAAAGGTGCGTTGTTTATAGGAGCTGTGTGGTCCAAACTTTCAGCAGTGCATATTTGTTTCCTTTTTTTTGCATCCTGCACTTAGACAGACAAGTGTACTGGATAGTTTTATAAATAGGATGTGTAATGACAAAACTTCTAGACACAAATGTGTAGGAATTCAGTCCTGATTGCACTGTTTTATCTACTTTTCTTGTTAACAGGGGGTTTTCGTTGTGTTAAAGGCAGGGGTGGAGGAAGAGGCAGCATCTCCATGAATCTTTAGCAATACTGACATAGTGCATAGGTACATTTTTGCTTTGCATGAGTATGTTATAGAATCGTGTTAAACAAAAAAACCCCTGTGGTTATTGCAGTTGTGGAAAAAAATAGAAGATTCTGGACTAAAATGCAAAGGTAAACAACATATTGGTAATATTTTGATTTAAATGATACTGCTGTCTTTAATTAAAATATGATTATAATACAGCTGGATATACCAGTCTAATCTGATTAGAGTAGTTAAAAGTAATAACTAGTTGTGCTGACAGACTTCCATGGTATCTGTGCAAATTTCTTCAAATCTTGCAGGTTTTCTAGGGTCGCTGGCCTGTATTGAAGACAGTTGCTACCACATTCACAGTAGTAATTTCAGCCACTCGGGACAAATGGAATTCCATTTTATGGGTAGATGCTTCCTAACTAAAATTATTAGATTTGAAGTAGTTGACAGTATGTAGCACCAGGGGGAGTAAATAGGCTGTATTTTTGAAGTGCTGCTGCTTAGAAGCTCACTTCATGCAAGGCTTTTTACATATTATTTCCTCTGAGTTTAGAGATATCACTCTGTTTCTAACAAAATTCCAAATATGTTTCATAAATTACATTAAAAAATAAAATAACTGGAATAACAAAATTTCATAAATAGAACACAGAAGAAACCTGTCATCTGCTGTCCTGCATACAGGGTTGTAATGTTTTCTTGAAGTATTTCTGCATCAAAAACTTTGAAAAAAAGAAAAAATAAAGCAAAAATATGAATTCTTTGTGAATTCACATGATAAGAATCATTCTTAGTTCATGAAAAATTAGAAAATTATGCTGTAGCTTCATGTACTATCAAAACAAGTAGCTTTGTTAAAAATAAAAATTTCTACCTCATATTCCTTTAGGAACAGTTAACAAAGAATAACTTAGTATGGTTTCTACAGAATACTGAGGTTAAGATCAATAACTTTCAGTATTTATATGAAAAGTGTGTGATTTATTCAGTGTTTTTATTTTAATCTGAGCTTTCTTAATCCCTCCAGTCTCTTCCAGTATTCACTGTCTCTTTCTTTGCATCTCACTGTTTATTGTACCACTACTAACCATATTAAGTTAATGCTTTAAATGCAAAAGGGCTACTGTAAATGGGAACATGTTATACTGAGCTAATGTATGGCCAGTCTTCGCGAACGAAGATTTGGGAAAGGTCATTACCTTTCGAGCCTGCTCAGTGGATTTTTTTAGGTGAGACACAGCGTGCGCTGAACTGAGCCCACCCTTTAATCCTGAGGTTCAACTGCCGGGGCCGAGCAAGCTTGGACAGTGGCAGCGAAGTCCTCGGGACGTAGGTTTGTTTAGAGTGACCTTCTCTTAGATGGATGGCCTTACAGGGCTGACGAGCTCCATCTGCCTGGGGAACTCCTCTGACCGGGAATCGAACCCCGGCCTCGGCGGTGACAGCGCCGCATCCTAACCACTAGACCACCAGGGGAGAGATTACTGACATCTCTGCGTGTTTTGGTTCTGTGAAAGTTTCCTGTGTCTGGTCAGTATTACAGTGGATATTGCTAGCCTGTCATCTGAGACCCTTTGTTAGAGGGGAGTTTTGGTTCTAATGTGTGTTGTTCCATAACTCAAAACTAATTTCTTTATAAATATTCATCTCGATATTCATCAAAAAGACAGACTGATGGTATAGGGGTAATGAGTGGGATAACTTTTTTTAAGAGAGACTGAAAACTAAGGGCTTATAACAGCAAGGGTACTTTTGTCAGTTTCATCTCTCCATGAAAATTGAGAACAAAATTGCAATTTTTGTGTGTTGTGAACCAAAGCTTTAGTCAACTGTTAGTTCAATAAGTCTAATATAGTTTATCTAATATAATGTAAGCAAAAGAACAAAGAACTTTGCACACTTAGTTCTGTTTAAAAAATAAAGCAAAAAGACTGTGAGCACTTTGATCATTATGCTGTTCTTTTCTTTGCCATAGTTCCTCTTACTGATCTGGTACAAAGTCACCTGTGTGACACCTGAGTCACAGGAATCTGAAGGGTAGAAAAATGAACAACAGTAGCTAAAGCTACTATCTGTTATAGCAGGGAAAAATAGGACCTGTGATAAGGTCTAAAACCAGTCTCTGAGGAAAAGACAGAGCAGATTAGCCAGAACTATCATCTGAATCAGAGATGAATGGTATCGGAAAAGCACATAAATGACCCTAGAATTATACAGGAAGTACTAAAAGTTAGTCTCTAACTCTCTCCTAACTATAGGTATTTATGATTGGCAGGCAGCTGCCATAGGGCTGCAAATGTGTCATCCTTTCTGATCATAACACCTGCTGACATTAATTGTCCATCTGACTTTGGAAACAGTGTTAATGTCTATCAGGTGCAACAGAAATTACATGGAAGAAAGCTGGCTTATTTTTATGTCTGTGACATAGACATTTCTATTATTTCTATGTCTGGAATCCCTATGGAAACCCTGGGAAATAAAATGGTACTGCTTATTGCAGCCTTTGGTACAACAGTCTGCAGAAAGTCTTTTACATGTATTTCTGGAGCATTCATTTATCTGCCTAATGTGTGAATGATCAAGCAACCCAGCCTTGGTTCCCAGCTTGTGCCTAGACTGCTGACATCCTTCCCAGCCAATTCTGCAAGCAGCGTGACTTCAGTAAATTTGATCTGTCATTGTTGCAAGCCAACATAGTTAATTCAATGTTCAAAAGACAGGTGCAGACAGAAATAAAACAGTATTTGTCCAGCTGAATCTAGAACAGCTTGAAATTACTATGCATGTAGGAACTAGCAAGAAATTATAGGCTAAGGGGAAAGGGAAGAGTACATAAATCAAAGTGGACAAGAAGTAGAATATAGTATTGGAATAATTAAGCACTGAAATACTTCTGAATGCAGAATATGAAGATGTTTTCATTGCAGCGCACAATTCTTCAAAAATTATTTATATTTACACTTTTCTTATTATTTTAAATATGATTAACAAGCTTCATAGTACTGAACGTAAGTTTGGTGTTGCCAGAATGAGAAACAAAAGCAACAGAAAAAACATTTTTTTCATAGTCAGTTTTCAAGAAGTGTGAAAGTAGGGAAATTTAAATGTGCATTTGGAAGATTCTCTAAAGACTGTGCCACTAAGTTAAGACGCAGGAGGCCTAATGAGCATGTTTGGTGCAACTGCATTGCTTGGGCTGTCTGTTCTGCCTCACGTAGCTTCACTGTTCAGTGTGCTGCACATGCTGTAATACACTGCTGATCCTATAGCAGTGCATTATAAGGGAGAGATAAAAAGAGTTCAGTGCTACTTAACCTGCCCTTCCTCCTTTAAAGTTTTTAAATTTGAGTAGGATATGTAAGACACCTAATATAACATCATTTAATAAAGCCATGAATATGGAAGTTGTTTACTTTCCTACTTTACTAATGCTCTTCTTTCACTTTTCAAAGGGAAGTCACTCCACCAAAGTGGAAGCTGTGGTCCGAACACTGAAGAGAATTCAATTTAAAGATCCAGGGGCTAAATCCTTAGTTTTCTCAACGGTATTAATCATCATTTTCTGTCTTGTCTTTGTGTGTGTGAGTTTAAAGCATTCATAATATTTACAGGAATTAGTTTAGCTACCAAAACATTGAATCACTCTCTACAGCCACTTGATTGTTTTGAGAATTTGTGGGGCAAGTCATGTAACTGGGACATGAACAACAATCATAGTCAGCAGATGTAAAAGCTTGTTTCTTTAAAGGGCAAACACTCAGTTTTGTATGGGAGTGTTAGAAATTCTAGATATTTTTATATGTAATGTGCAGATGTTTTTGATACATTGTAAAACTGTTTTTATGATGGCTGCCAATTTCTTTTATTCAAGCTGATCTTTTTAATTACATGTCTTAGTTTTATGAAAGATTTGGTTCCTAGCACACAAATATTTATTTCTTTTTTTTTTAATTGCAAATGCTAGTATTTTGAAAAGGTTTTTAATCTATTCTCTCTTAGGGAAGTTAATTAGTATTTTTTAGTTGTCATTGCTGTTTGTAATGTTGAGTTACTTTTATTGTTGTGTGTTTTTGTTTCGTTTTTTTTTTTTACAGTGGCAAGATGTATTGGATATAATTTCAAAAGCTTTGTATGACAACAACATGATTTTTTCTCAGATCAATGGAATTAGTAAATTTCAGGTACATAAAGGATATTTTTATTTAATTATTTTCAATGGGAAAATCATAGTTCATAGAAGTTAATTTGATCCTTTTACTTCATTGCTTCATTTGAGAAACTAAAAGAGCAGCAAATTTATTTGGCAAAAGCTTGGATCTCTAACTCATTAATTCTAAAAATCATAATCACAAAAAGCCCCAGTTTAAAGCTTTTGAAGCTAAACTGTACATTCACTTTTGAGAAAGAAGCATTGGCCTGTCTGTTAAGGATGAGACACACTGATCAGTGTTGCGAGAAGTTCATGCCTTCCTGATATCTGTTGAGTATCTGTTCCGGGATGAACATTATTTCTCTGGAGCCTGTATTAGCTGCTATAATTTCTAGAAAATGTAGTCATATCCTCCACACTCTTCATTGAGGAACTTTTGTCCCACTGCTGTGATGTTTGCCTTTTAGGAAAATCTTTCTGCATTTAAATATGATCCCAACATCAATATTTTGCTGCTGCCTCTTCACACTGGTTCCAATGGACTAAACATCATCGAAGCAACACACGTTCTGCTTGTGGAACCCATTCTGAATCCAGCACATGAGCTACAGGCTATTGGCAGAGTACATCGTATTGGCCAAACAAAGTAAGATTTAAAATTATGTTGAATGGTTTAGATATGGTCCAGAATAGATCTGCATACTGTAATCAGAATAAATCTAGTTCACCGAACTTCTCAGTTTTGGAGATGGGGTTATTCATAGGAACTCTGGTTTTAAAGATAATCATAAAAGGGACAGAAAGATTAAATTAAAAAATGTTTGCTGAAAATTCACTGTGTATTTTAGGGAGTTGTTTTGTGCTGCAGGGGTAAGATGCAGAAACAAATTGCATTTGGACCATTTAGGAAGAGTGTAAGCTCTTGAGTCTGAAATTCTGAAAAACCTTGTTCAGCTGGTGCCCTGTTTTATGTGTGCCATTGATGCCTTAGTTTTTAACTTTGAAGTTCTGCTTGCAAACATGTCCAGAAATATCTTAACTTTGCATGTCCAGGCAACTCATTCTTTATGTTATGAGGGTAAGTTGAGGCATGGCCTGAGTTTCCTTGAGAGGGTCCTTCTAACTGGTCATTCTCAGCTCCAGATTAGGAGCCAAGTAAATTGGTGGGGGTTTTCTGTTTGCTTGTTTTGGGGGGTTGTTTGGTTGGGTTTTTTTCCAAAAAGAACGTTATAGCACACTCACTTTACAACTGATTAGTTTTTTGAATCACAGTTCTGCCCTCATCCCCATCTAGATCCCTTTGAAGATGTTAATGAGTTTGCATATCTCTTGTTTGTTTCAATGTTGTTGATTTTACACGTGTAGTAGTGAAGACTTAACAAAGGTTTAGGAACGTTTGTCCTGAACATATAAGATGTATATGTTTTTCATTAGGTCTCATGTCACTTGAAAAAAAAATTAAAACCTGGAACATCAAGGAGAAAAATAGCTGGAGTTAATTCTGAAATAAAAATATTCTAGAATAATAGTGGGTTTTGCGTTCTAAAGGCAAAGAGAGGACATGAAGAAGCGTGTATGTGAAAGAATGTTTATGAACAGGTGGATATTTGTGTGTGTTGGTAAAGATTTTGAATTAACTGTGAGGGCATAGGGAAGATTGATTGCAACAGCCTGGATTGTAATTTTACATGATGCTGGCACAAAAGGTCTGGCAAAAGCCTTGCAATAAAAGCAGCAAGAATGTACTGTACTTTTCAAGAATTAAGACCTCAGCAAGGCTTATTTGAAAAAGGACTGTGTTCTAAGTACAGTGAGCATAAGGGAATACTCCTGTATGCAACTATTACCACTTCAGTTGAGTTCTTATTTACTTCTCTTTTTTTGGGTAGACCTTTGCCTATGAATCCCAAAGTATTCCCCCTGCATTCTTCTGTGAAATGTTGCCTGCCAAAGTTTCAGCTGAAGATATGAAAACTGTCTAAGCACTTTCAAGGGCTCTTGTCTCAAAAAATGTTTATACTGGGGAGCCTGGGATGATTTTTCATTTTTATCTTTGGAGCTGACTCTTTTCCATTTCACTTTCTTATGCCTGGCAGGTTTTTTTTATTACTGCTTTCTTTCTGAAATTTTATTTCATAAATGGAGTTGTCATTTTGTGTTATGTTTATTGACATTTTTGTTTTTGTTTTACCAGTGTTTACAGTTCTGTGTTTACTGACTACAATTGCTGACTTTTTAAAAAAAAATTATAATATTTTGCTGTCTTCAGAAATAATATTGTTAAAACTCTGGAAATCAGCTTTAATAATCCATCACACTGAGCTCTTGTCTCTTGGAACAACTTGTGGCAATGCAGGATGAACATTGTGTATCACCAGTGGGCCAAAGTAATTTCTTTAGGCTCTTGAGGAGGGTTTATTTGTAGTAAGGACACAGAAAGCAGAACTTTGCCCAGCATCTGCATTAGGATTTTAGGTAATACAGCTTACATTCATTTAGTATGTGGTCAGCCAAGTGAGTTTGTGCTCAGGGAGGCACTAAACACCCTGCAATGTCAGTGGAAGTTGTTAATCACCTTTAAGATTTCTTTCTTAAAATAGAGGCATTTTTTCAACATTCTTACAAGAATTAATGTGAGACAAAATATGATTATGAACTTCATCAATAACAGTATAACTTCTGCTCACTTATGGTCTTGTTTTCTTTTTTTAAACACATTCAGATCTACCATTGTTCACAGGTTCCTGATAAAAGCAACAATAGAAGAGAGAATGCAGACTATGTTGAAAACTGTAGATAGAAGGTATGTGTTGAATTTTTTAAAACATCATTATTACACTGAAAATGAAAAGGTGATTCTCAACCATACTGTTATTATAGTTAGGCATGCATACCTTTGTATATAAAACTCAGCTGTTCTCCTTCAAATTGCTGTGATTGGCAAAAAAGTTTTAAGACTTGAAAAATTTTAACCTGGTTCCAGTAACTTGAAGCTTGAGGTATTTTAATTCTCTGGAAAGTGTTTTGGTAACGTTTTATCTTATAAAAGCCCAATTAATAAATTATGTGTTATGATTCGTCTTTTCACTTTACGTATTTCCGTGAGTATAAAAACATTGCAATGGACGGAGTAATACTAAGCCTGCCACTGGAGCAACGGCATGTGGGGTAAGCTCTAATATAGGACATGGATTCTTCCTTTCATTACATTTAAGTTCTACCAAGTTAGTCCAATGGTGCTCTGTCACATTGGTTGGTTTTGCAGTCTGTGCAGGCACTGCCCAGATCCTAGCTTATAGATCAGGCTGCTGTGTAGACACAGAAGTAGTTTTCACTGTGTTTATCCTTCCAAAATCTATAAGCAATGACGGACTGGGCCTGGACTAAAAAGGGTGTTCTTTATGCAGAAAGTGTAAGAGGTTTGTACCTTTTATATATTTTATATGCATGATAAATCTAGGAGGAGGCCTTAGTTTAGGGAAGTTTTGCTGGTTAGAGATTATGAAACTAAGAATGGACATGCACATCTTTGGTTGTACTTATGAAAGATTTCAGTTTTAGCTCTGGAAGAATGATTTATTCGGTTTCCATATCTGTGAAGTAGCACTATTTTACATATAAAATTTGGATAAATGTACAGTGGTTGAATGATCCCATGAGAACTAATGTTTTGAAAGTAATATTAAACGTTATGCATGGAAGCTGAAGACAGTCCCTTAAATGTTAAAAGGGCACAGCAGATTATCCCATGTTCTGCTTTTGCTGGGTTTGCAGTGTTTGGCGTTGACTACTGTTAAGGACCATAGATGGACTTTGTATCTTACTTAGAATGTACAAGAGCAGTAGCTGATCAGTGTACATTGACTCTGAGCTGTGTGGTCTGTCTCCAGTGCACACAGCTTGTTACTGACATTGATTCTTTCTCTGATGCCTGCATGCAATTTTTTTCCCACAGTCACACGAGCTCTTCCATGAAACAGTCAGAAGCCTCAGTGTTGACAGTGGCAGATTTGGCTGACCTTTTTACAGAGGAAACTGAAGAACTTGAGTAAAAACATTGGTTTGTCCTAATGAAATCAGAAAGTACCTGATATAATAAGCACCAGGATATAATCCACTTGATCTATTGTTCCTGTAAACATCATCTAACATTTGTTACAGAGTGATTGGAAATTGAAAAGTCTTAATTGTTACTGTTTTATTCTTTGGTGAAGCTCATAGCAGCACACACTTCTGATGGCACTGGAGAAAAGTTGCACTTTGCACATTATACAAAAACATGGATTTTATTCCCAAAGAGCATTTGAGCTGGATGCTAAAACTGAGATCTTGGACCCTTGGTTGAGAGGATTTTTACCATCAGGTTTGATTGGCTAGTAGCTCTGTCTGAGAGCAAAACTATGTGGGTGGTTGGGTGGGAAAGGGAAGCAGAAAAATACAAATCTAATTTTTTTTACTGTACAAAGAGATGTTAGAAAGAATGACTGTAAATTAATATTCTTCTAGAAAGGGCTTGTTAGATTTAATGCAGAGTTACTAAATGTCTTATTGTTAAAACTTCAAATGACTAATCTTTACTAATAATTTGGATATTTGTATTAGGCTTTTAGATATTCATAAAGACTTGTGACAGTTAAATATTTCATTGTTAATGCTTACTTATTGCAAAAAGATGATAATTAAATTATGCTTTTTGTATATATGTTGGTCTGGTGATCAGTTAAAGACTTGAACTTGCTGTACATGTTTTCACTTGAAGCCGTGACTAATTTAGTACTCTGTTTAAAAAAAAAGGCATTTGTTACAGAATTTTCAAAAAATTAATTGGTTAAGCTGCTGATCACTTTGGAATCATATGGTGTGCTTGTGTGCATTTTCTCACTATGATATTTTTGTCTAGTTCTCCCCCTTAAAGATACAGCAATTTAAATATACAAAATAGATGAAATTAAGGTAGGCAGTCTAATTCTTAGGTGCCTGGTCTAAGTTAGATAAACAGTGGAAAGACATGGAACTTTGTGAAGTTTTGTCTTGATATGCGAGATCACTCTACGCTATCTCTGTTAACAGTAGATAGTTTGGAAAACAAATCCAGGCTAACTTTTAGACTGCTAAAAGTAGGCAAGATAAATTTTAAGCCTTTTGACATAGGTTATGAATTCACACTTATATAACATTTGTTTCTGAAGGTGTTACAGAAGCAAGCTCAGTTACACAGTTGATGTTAAACACAAGTTTGTGTTTAGAGAGTGAGCATAAGCAACAGGCTATGTCCCTCAAATTACAATATTTACTGTTTCAGTAGGCAATGTATTTTGTATATTTTAAAAATCTTACTTAAGGTGGAAATTAAAATTAGTTCTGTAAGAAATCTCATTGTAGAATTTTTAATCATGTCAGCTGATTCTTCATAGATTTCTATAGTTATTGAGCTTCTTGAGTTTTGTTTTCAGTCATACAGCATTTGAGCTGCACAGTCAGGTATTAAACCTATCCACGACAGGTAACTTTTCTGCTTCTGACAACAGAGGTGAATAGAATTTGCAAGAATAATACTGTATCAAGAAGTGGGGTTTTTGGCATTTATATTCTGTTGGCCTTCTGGACCAATTGGATACTTTTTTTCTAAAGACTATTTGAGTAACTTTACAGACAATGTATCTGTTTCCCATATTTGTAATATGTGCTAGTTGGTTTAGCCCAGAAAGCCAACTGCATCCTGGGCTGCATCAAAAGCAGCGTGTCCAGCAGGTCGAGGGAGGTGATTCTGCCCCTCTGCTCTGATGAGACCCCTCCTGGAGTTCTGCATCCAGTTCTGGGACCCCCAGCAGACAAAGGACATGGGCCTGTTGGAGCCAGTCCAAAGGAGGGCCACTAAGTTGATTACATGGCTTGAGCACCTCTCCTATGAAGGCAGGCTGAAAGAGTTGGGATTGTTCAACCTGGAGAAGAGAGGTTCTTGGGTAACTCTAGAGCAGCCTTCCAGTACTCAAAGGGGGCCTGCAAAAGAGCTGGAGACAGACTTTTGACAGGGGCATGTAGTGATAGAACGAGGGGGAATGGCTGAAGGAGGACAGGTTTATACTGAATATTAGGAAAAAATTCTTTACTTTGAGGGTGGTCAGGCACTGGAACAGTTTGCTGAAAGAGGTCAAGGACTCCCCATCCTTGGAAGTGTTCAAGGCCAGATTAGATGGGACTTTGGTCTAGTGGAAAGTGTCCCTGCCCATGGCAGTGGGGTTGGAACTACATAATCTTTAAGGTCCCTTCCAAGCCAAACCACGCTACAATTCTGTATGTACATTTTATTTTGTAGGTTATTGATTTTTTTGCAGATTACAGTTCGCAGCAAGGCAAATAGAATAGATAGTAGACTTTCTTTAGATGAGATTGATTAAACAGTGTACACAGAAACTGGGACATCTACATCCTTGAACATACTGGGAACTCAAATAACCCTGAGTAACCTGATCCACCTTCGAAGTTGGTCCTGCTATGAGTGGTGTGTTGGACCAGATGACCTCCAGGGATCCCTTCCAACCTAAATTATTTTACAGTGTACTGGAGATCTTGCCGTACAGACATTCCAGGAACTCTGAGAGCAGCAATATTCCAGTTTCCTCGTCGTCTTCAGATAATTTTGATATTGTATGGCAATGTGATTGCACAAGAAGCTGCTGTTCACTCTGAGAAATTATATATCTGTGTTAAAAGCTGTGGAAGCACATAGTATTTACATTCATAGCTCCCACTTTAATTAACTACATGTGGGAAGAATAGTTGTCAGTGAACGTGAAGAAAGAGAGGCAAACTGAAAAATATCTGCTTCCCAAGCTCTTCAAGTTTTTGACTTATTTATATAAAGACAATGGTTTCATTGTTTATTTACAAACATGTAGTTTTTGAATTCCTAACCAAAAGCATAGCTTCACATCAAGCACTGTGTGAGTCTTAAGTCCTGGCTTATCTTTTTCTATACTCATATAACAGCATGAAATGCCAGAGATCTGGTTGTAGGTGCTCTCCTGAATGCCCTGGAGCACCAGGACTTAGAGCTCTGGAAGTATTACATTAAAGTGTGTACAAAGTCATGTCAAATCACCTGTTGAAACTGGAAGGTTGAACTGTTGGAGCATATAGCCAGTATCAGCAGTAAAACAGATTCTTCAAGTTTCACATAATGCTAAATAAAGAGACTAAATGCTTTTTACCATTCTTTCCAACATTTAGTTTCTTTGACAAAGGTTTTTCTTTCAGACTTCTTACGAGACTTCTCATGAGATGAATTCTTTTTTTTTCTTTCCTGCTAAGGGTGCAGCTTGTACATCTGCAGTGCTTTTCTCTTATCAAAGCACAGTAAGCTTGATTTCACAGTGCTGTCATGGTTTTTTTTCTCTATCAGAACACTCTTTAAAAAGACAGTATCTTAGCTGAGAACAGTTTGCCCTGTTGTAATGCTTCCAACATACTCACAGAAGACAGAAATCTATAAATACTGACTGCAGTGTTTAAATAACATTTGTGTGGACATACCCAAGAGTCATGTACCAGATTCTCATGTGTTCTCCTGTTAAAACATCTAAACATGATCTGAGGTGCCAGTATTTATCTAGTGAAGTCAGTCCTTTAAAAATGAGGCTTCAGCTGATTACGAAGACCTCAGTGTTGACCTTTCATCTCTTTCAGTTCTATGACAAAAAATGTTGAAAGTTTTCTTGACTGTAGTTGATGAGGGTTTTAGGGCAGGTTTTCTCCCTGTTTAGTTCAGTGCTTTGTAAAACAGAGCTGTTGTTTTGGTGTCTGCAAATAGTAAACTTCCTTGAACCACGCAATATCATCGTGTTGGAAACTAAGGTGTTAAACTTGCGGTGTAAATTGAGTTCTGTGAATTTCAGTGTGGATCTCTAAATAAATTTGTAAGTTAAGATCCTCCTTGTTCTCTAAATCAGGCTATGCCAGGAAAAGGTTTTCATCTTGACCTGTTAGGTAACTTTTTAGCGTACTAATCAAAGTCCAGCACACTACCGTTTTCATGTAGGTCAGATACTACAAAAGAATATTACCTCAGTCTTCTCTTGCATATTCCAAGTTGTATACTAAGGAGTGGACATAAGAGTTGATGCTTTTTATGAGATAGGCCTTCCAAACCACATGTCTGCCAATGTCTTTAGATGTATTAGAGTTGTCTGTGAGTGGGATCCTACGTAGATAAAAAGTCCATAGTTGTTTCCAGTTAAAACCATAATTAGACATACATCCTCCTGTAAGATTCTGTCTGGATTAGTAGCTGAATACCAGTTAACAGCTCTTTGCCACTATCTTTTGCAGTCCTTATGACTGCGTTAACTTTTTTAGGAGTCAGAATTATTTGTTTAGTTAGAACTGTGTTTCAGTTAAATTGGAGAGAATAAGGTCAATATTGGTCAATCTCGTGACCAACGTAAGAAAAAATTAACCTTGAAATTTATAGCTCTCTCAAGGTAAGCAATTAGATGAGTTTCTAAAGGAAAACCTAGAAATCTGGGGGGTTTTCTAGATGTAAATAAAGCCTGTTTCTGAAGCTTAGACTTAGTGCTTGAAATCTGTATTTTAAGCTTTTCTATACACTGAAAGGCTACTTACAAAGCCACTGTGCCTGTGATTTTTCTTCCTTTTTTGATTGCTTGAAACAAGTGAGGTCTTTACAAGATTATATGCTATAAATGTAGATTAAAAAGAGAAGAAATAAGGAGAAAAAATAAGGTTCAAGACATCCCTACCTCTCCCTCTCTGTCTGTGTGTTTCCATTTTTCTGTGTCAGTCATCTTGTCACACCCTCCACCCACCCCCATCTCGCTCAGTTTGTTACAAAGAATATTTGTGTTAGTCGGTGGCAGTAGAGTGAAATAGCTAGAGTAAAAACTAGCTTACTGTATCACAGGAAAAGTGTCTGAGGTAAAGGGAATTTTAACATAGTATAAATTCTTTTTTATATCTGTAATATTTTCATTTACCACTTTTATTCACCACTGTAGAAGCAGATGTTGAATTTTAGTCTATTAACTTTTATATTTCTAGTTTTATATTATACATCTGACATATAAAAAGGATGCAGTAATCTAATTACTGAGTAATCAGTGAGGCTTACAAGTTTTTACTAGCCAGGTCTATAGGTTTGGGATTCATAAAGTGCACCTGAACCATTGTCACAAATCAAGGTGCATCCACTGTCTTCTCCTCTTTAGAGGAGGAGGAGGGAATAGGTAACTACTGATTCAGTGTCCCAAGTCCCAAGTAGTCACTCCACATATTCTACAGTCATACACTGTGTAAAGAGGACAGTTAGTTGAACTCATAGCTTTCAAGTGTCATTAAGGAATTAAGTCATCTGGGGCAGAAGTAAATGATGTAGGGTTTCCAAGTACTAGAATAACTCTCCTTAGACAATTGAATTGTGAGATATCTGTAAACCTCTGGCTTGGCTCCATGCTCTGGCTTGGTTTTCTTCTTTGTATGAGATGTCAGCCTTCCAGGGCTTAACTTCCAAGTTCCTTTGTTTCGTGTATTTATAGAGCTGACACAAGCAAGCGCCCAGCCCGATTAATTCAACTGGACACATATCAAATTTTATCAGTTTAGGAACAGGTGTCAGTTTTCCATGATGTAACATGTCTTGGTTTGATGGCAGCCTTCACATCAGCTAGAAATTACCTTTTCAAATTCTACCAAGTGTAAGGTCTGACTGCTTACAGGGTGTCTCAAAATGTACATTGTTGGTGTGGGCTGGCCTAGATAGTTGTGGAGATTTTTATGCCACTTTTCCTTCCATCCTACCTATGGGGGTTAGTGAGCTAGTAAAATTCATTCTGTATTGCTGTGAATTGTCCCCTCCTTATGCTAACAGGTTCTCATCATTGGTCAGACTTTCTCTTGACTATGTCATTTGGTTAAGGAAGAAAATCTAGACTGCCTTCCTTGTTTATCATGATGGAGTTTTGCCCTGGCAGTCTTGGAGTCTCCTGAAACAGAGGACCACAAATGTGGGGACAGTGACATTCTTTTTATGGATGCTGAAACTTTAGGAGACGAGCTGTATTGGCTGAATGTTCACAAGTCCATGTGGCCTGATGGGATTCATCCCAGCATTCTGAAGGAGTTGGCGTATGGTTTGGAAGAACTCCTCTTGATCATCTACCAAACATCTGGGAGGGTTCCTGCTGACTGGAAGCTAGCTAATGTTGTTCCAGTTTACAAGATGGACATAAAGGAAGACCCAGGGAACTACAGACTCGTTAGTCTAACCTCAGTTCCTGGAAAAATTATACAGATTATACCAGGTACTATTGGAAGGCACACACATATGTTGTTTCTCTTTCAATCTTCTATAAAATC